CAACAGGAGCAAATTGTGTGCATCATGGGTAGCTTGGGTTTGCTCCTAGTTTGTAAGAACCGTTATTTGAGTCCTCTAATCATTGAGATTTATGTTATGTAGGCGAGAAGTATTGCAGGTATATCACTTATCCAAGTGTTTTTCAGAACAAAAATGAAGCATTATATATCCAGCCACTTATAGGAGATGCCCTGATACCATGACGATGAATACAGTAGAAGTAGAGCAGAACCGTGTCAATAACTGTAAATATACCCTGCAATTCTTTCTTTTAAAATGTCACTTTTGTGGAAAATCTGTTGGTTGCTGGTGCTGACTTTCTCCTCCTACTTGAGAAATCAACTTAAAAGTAAGATAAGCATATAAAATTCCTTGTTGGTGTGCCTTCTGCAGGCCAGTGGCGCCTGGGCTTGCCCCAAGACTTACAGCTAGTGAGGAATGCGGCTGTTGTGAGATGTTGGAAATATTTTTTCAGCAATTTGAGAGCAATGGAGAACCATGGAGACCTGGGATCCCGGTGTTCCCCAGCAGCTCAAGTGGAGTGACTCAGGGGCCAAGTATATTTGAGTTTCTTCTGAAAACAGGGCCTACACTCCTCAGTCCCTGAGGAGCACTTTACTGCTTTACAGGCAGCCCATGTGTAGAGCTATAGCCCATGCCCTCTGAAAAGCTATGCCAAAACTCTGCCATGAGGCTTAGACCCACTTTTCTGATAAACACGTGAAGTTTCCACCTGAATTTGCACACAGATAATATATACGCTGTGCGCCCTTTCACAAGGCTATGTTTCCAAATGGTCTGGAGGCCAAGAAAAGCAGATGTTAGAGAGGACATCTTCTCCAAGCAACCGAGTGGGACAGGTGTTCACACCTTAAAGTAATGAGCTCATTTCTTCTGGATTCATTGCAACAAGGAGAAAAAAAAAGCCCTCTCCCAACCCAAAATGATTTTTGAGTGTCCAGATAATGTATGATGCATATCTTAATGATGTATCATATGTGTCCCAAGTCTCCTCATTCTGGAGTTTTTATAAGAGCGCCTTTACAAGTGCCACCAGCTGCTTGCTCATGGCAGGCGAGTCAGCGCTCCAAGCCATTGCACACACTGCCGTTATTGGTCTCCAATAAACTTCAACAAAGCGAAGTCATTTAACCAGGTAAATCGTCATGTCCAGTTCGTATTACAAGGGACTGATGATTGCACTTCTGAAAACCATTTTATTTAGCCTTTTAGTCATCCCCTTCAAACGTCGTGACAACATTAGTCATAAACTACACCTTCAACGTGAACAAGATGTTTTATCTATCTGCCTGCCCACCTTCATTTAACACTGCTTCCCTGGTCCGCGGCAGTTACATTTTGTCCTGGTGGCCTGAGGGCTGACTGCTGGATGTGAGACTGGTTGACTTGCTGGCCAGAAATGTTAATTTTCACACAGATTTTTTTCAATCCTGAATCATCCTTTTTTTTCCCCTGATGTGAGGTTAAAAATTGGAGAGGTTTACTCTTGAGTGTAGTGTATGGTGTTTGGAAAAAAATGCTAGTTTTTATCAGCCAGACTTTCAGGACAGGCAGCAGGCAACTGTTAGCAGGCGATGGGCCAGGCAGAAGTGTGGGGAGCCCAGTTTGTATTTCCACAGGCAGGAGTGTTCCCACCACAGAGCTACTAAAGGGTTAGGACTTTCAGCAGTGAACCTGAGCGCTGCTATTATCTCTCACGCAAAGAAAAGGATTCTTGTCTTCACAGGCTTTGCCATGTCTAACTGCGGGGAGGGGTTGAATTTTTGACAGTGAAAAACTACTCAGCAGTATTTATAGATTTTTTTAGTTTTTTAGATCCCTTCTGTTGTCCATCACAGAACTGTTATGGTTTGTAAGACTGTTGGAGGAAAAACACACAAATTCCTGCACATGTGGTGTCATTTTATGCTCTCTCCTGTTTTGTTCCTTTTGTATGCTTTAAACCAGCTGGAGAGGAGGTGGGAAAAAGAATATTTTCTTTTATTGTCTCCAAGTGTTTAAGGAATGACAGATGGTTTTTTTTTTTTCATTTATGTGATTGCTTTTTGCCAACACAACACAACACAACACAAGCAAACACATAAAGTAACTCAACAGCTTACCACCATGCGCTGCAGAGCACAAGGGCGGCCACTTGGGAGCGGAGGCAGAGAGAGGTGCCAGGGGAAAACCTGTCCGTGCTTTCCTTCAGATGGAGAAGACATAATGGTGCCTGGAAAAAAAAAGGAGAGAGTCATTACCAGATTTTTTTAATGTCATATTTAATGCTATATTTAGCGCGTGGCAGTTCTGGCGTGCAGAGGTCTAGCAGAAGCCGAGGCCGCTGGAGCGCGGTGGCTGGCAGCACAGCTTGGGGAGCTGTGCCGCAGGGCAGTGATGGCCCCGGGAGCCGAGCGATGGAGCGGTGCAGAGACGGGCTCTACTTGGCGATGTCATGCAGACATTGAGTGTGTGACAGAGGCCCGAGGGAATGCATGAGGTATAAAACACTTTCTCTGTGACATGTAAAGGTTTGTTGGGGCAGAGGGGTTGTTCCTAGGGTTGTGGTTTGCACCACACCAGTGACCCTCCTGGGCAGGGACAGGACTTGCTGAGCAGAAGGAGCACTTTTAATGTCCTGGTTAACACTAACTGCTCTCATGGTGGGAAATGTCAGTGCTGTAATGTGGGTACCATGAATGCACAAAGCCTCACGTCCTCTGAACAGATATCATGCAGAGTGCTCAATGAGTTAGGACAGGTATTTAAGATCTTCCAAAGCATTTCCCCTCTGGCATCCTTTGCTTTTTGCATAACCCCAGAGCAGTGACCCTGCCTGCCTTAGCACAGAACAGAGCTACGTGATGGCGCTCCTTTGGACAGGAATATAGCTCCAGAGCCCATCCCCATTCCTACACAGCAGCAGCCTCTTGCAGAAAGGCCTCTGTTCGCCAAGGGCTGCATCAGATTCTCGGGGATATTTTGCATGCGTTAACCTTCCTATAAGAAAATAACCTTATTCAGTACTGTGTGTAGGTGGAGGAGATGATGGAAGGGAGGGAGAGTTGCTGCTGGCAAACAACCAAATCAAGACTTAAATACAATTTCTTGCTTTTCTTGCTTGTGAGAAAGGGCAAATAGACTTTTTAAAAAATATATAGACCCTTTGGTACATGTGCTTGACTTAGGACTTGGGGAGAGAGTTCCTGCCTTTTGCTTGGAGAGGTAGGAGGGCTCCTTGGATCTGCCCTGTGAGTGGTTGCCCTTACTTCCATTGAGCCAGCAATGTGCCCTTGTGACGAAGAAGGCCAATGATATTCTGGGGTGCATTAAAAAGAGTGTGGCCAGCAGGTCAGGGGAGGTCATCCTCCCCCTCTACTCTGCCCTGGTGAGGCCACATCTGGAGTACTGTGTCCAGTTCTGGGCTTCCCGGTTCAAGAAAGACAGGGAACTACTGGAGAGAGTCCAGCGGAGGGCTACAAAGATGATCAAGGGAATGGAGCACCTCTCCTATGAGGAAAGGCTGAGAGACCTGGGCCTGTTTAGCCTGGAGAAGAGAAGACTGAGAGGGGATCTCATCAATGCTTAGCAATATCTAAAGGGTGGATGTCAAAAGGATGGGGTCAGACTTTCTTCAGTGGTGTCCAGCAACAGGACAAGGGGCAACAGACACAAACTGGGATGTGGGAAATTCCATCTCAACATGAGGAAAAACTTCTTTACTTTGAGGGTGCCGGAGCACTGGCGTAGTCTGCCCAGAGAGGTTGTGGAGTCTCCTTCTCTGGAGATACTCAAAACCCACCTGGATGTGTTCCTGTCCAACCTGTTCTAGGTGAACCTGCTTTGGCAGGGGGGTTGGACTAGATGATCTTCGAAGGTCCCTTCCAACCCCTACCATTCTGTGATTCCTGGTGGGGAGAGCAAAGGTGTCTGAGGCCGGCGTGGTGGGAGTGGCAGTGCCCTCCTAGTTTTCCTAGCAGCAAGGACTTGTCCCCAAAGAGCAGTACCAGTGGTGTGGGTGGCAGCCAGGGCTCATCAGAGAGCACTCCCCTCACAGGCATAGCGCTGGTCTCCAACGACACAGCCTGTCTTCCACTTCTCTGATTTACCGGTCAATTTGATCAATCATTTAATTTTGTCAAAATCATTGACAAAAGACCATTAAAAGGAGAGTTATGCCACTTCTACACTCTATGGCTTTGGCTCATTTATTTTAATTAGCTGTAACAAATTCATGGTTAAACAAGGCTCGAGAGGGTGCTTTCTAAATGTGATACTCATGGCATACACAACACCATTAACAAAACACTTCTCCACAGCTTGACTATGTTCTCCCCCATCTAGCTTGCAGCTCATTATAGCAGTAGAGATAGGAAACATAATGTAACACCTAATTAAAATGTGAGCCCATGTCCACAGATGATTCAATAGAAATAAAGGCATTAAGCTGACGAGAGAAGCAGGAGAGAGTCATCAAAATATAAACATCTCATTCAAGCAGAATCTGGAGGAAGCTATACCTCTGCTTTAGGTGCCTGCATAAAGTCGGGAGTAACAAGAGCATTCAGGTTCTGATCCAGCAAAGCATTAAAGAGTAAAAACTGATAACAACTAAAGGTCTGTTGTTCTCATTACAGATTCTGAACCCCACTGCGTAATAACAATTTTTAGCCTGCCCCGTTGGTTGTCATAGAAATAGCACAAGCAACCACTTATTTTTGTAATAGGGTTATAGATAGTGTCTTCTGTTATTTTGGTTGTTCTTTTCAAAATTATACTGGTGCAATTTATTGTATAAGTCGATGAGATGACTGTAGCCATTGCAAGATCAATTTAATGTGTGTTAGGTTAAGCATGTTAGAGGCATGCATAGAATTTAACGTTTTTTTAATATTGTTATTCTTCAAAATACAGAAAAAGTATAAATGGCCATATGTGAACTTAAAATGATGCATACCAAAGATAACTAAACTAATCATGTCTCCCTCTATTTGTCACAGGTGGGACAGTCCCCTGGTTGATCTGTTTTTCTCCAACCAGTATCTTCAGATCACAACTGCTGTGCCATCCACTTCAGTGTATGGGTTTGGTGAACAGGAGCACCTGTCCTTCAAACACAACATGGACTTCGTTACCTATGGCATGTTTTCCAGGGATCAGGCACCAACGGTAATTCACTTCATGCAACGCTTTGCCCTAACTTGTAAAAGGAGGTGGCAAGGTAGAGCTTTGTTGGGGAACCACCTCTGCCTGTATGGCAACACTGCTAATGTGAATCAGTGGCAAATACGGAATGCCACAGGTTTTGCAGGTGTCGTGAGTTTTAATTAACTGACAAAATCATGAGTCATTTTGAGGGGACTTCAAAACCTTTCATCAGAAGCTTTCTCATGGTGCAGTAAGAGTTCAGAAAAAAGTACCTTGTGTGCCAAGATCCTGGTTCAGGAAATCATTTAATTTCATGCTTAGATCAATCTCTGTTCATCCAAACAATTTGGCCTTCTGCAGGAATCATTACATGTTTGGCTAAACTGGGGTCAGTGGTTGATGAATTTATTTTAACTAGCAAAGCAGTTCTTACCCATGCTATTTTGGAAGGTTTGGCAGAATATGGAAGGTTTAACTGAGAGAGGCTAAAAAGTACCATCGTGATGAGACAGAAAAAAAATATTCTTTTCAATCAATTTGACTTCACACTAGTTTAGATGAAAAAATCCCCAGCCTTTCAAAACAAGTCTCTAACTATGAATGAATTTGTTTCCTTGTCTTTGCATATGTATCTAGCTGGCAAAAAACATGAAAAATAGCAGAGTCAAGCCATACTTAATGTGCTGTTTATGTTTCAGCCATTTGCCAACCTCTATGGAGTTCACCCTTTCTACATGTGTGTAGAAGCTGACTCCAATGCCCATGGTGTTCTCCTTCTGAACTCCAATGCACAAGGTAAAAAGATATATGGATTCGCTATAGGACTGCATATAGAAAGATGGTAAATTAGTAAGTATAAAAATCTGTTTTATTGACTGCTTTTTCTATGTGGTACAAATATGAGCGACTGTCCCGTAACTGAGGTTCCAGGAATTACTATAAAGTTTTCAAAGGGATTTCATTAGAAAGACTGTTTAACAAGGTAAGGTATTTTCAGTGAAAATACATGATCAATTTTTTTTTTTTTTTAATAGATGCACATACAGGGAAAGGAGAAGGTGGAAGAAATTTCCTCTGGGATTGGCATAACTGAATCAAATCAATTTAAGTTAGTCCTATATTCTGTCTGTGAAGCATAGTTTTGTACGTTGCCATGGTCACCCTACTGTATTAATCCATTGGTATAATTTCAGAAAAGGGGAATCTTCACTCAGTCTATAAAATCAGTTTCCCCTGGCAGGCAATGACTTCCAATAAGAAGATTAAAATAGCTTAGAGGAGCCCTAAACACAAGCTTGTGGTTCCTTTTTATATAAATGAAACTGAGAAATGGATCTGTGCAATCTACTCTGTGTGGGTTTCTGTGATTTATTGCTGCACAATGCCAATCTGAATGCAGAGATTACAGAGACACTGGGCAACTGCTAGCCTATGTACAGCTCCTGTTTGCTCACCCAGTTGTACCCACAAGGCATCGGGTAGTGACCTGAACGTGTTGCCGCCTCTGCCTGGGGATACATTTATGCATGGAAGAGCCCAGGGTGCACACACCCCGAACAGGATGGGATAGAATAGAATAGTTCAGTTGGAAGGGACCTGCAATGATCATCTTGTCCAATTGCCTGACCACCTCAGGGCTGACCAAAAGTTAAAGCATGTTATTAAGGGCGTTGTCCAAATGTCTCTTCAACACTGACAAGCTTCGGGCATCGACCACCTCTCTAGGAAGTCTGTTCCAGTGTTTGATCACCCTCTCAGTAAATAAATGTTTCCTAATGTCCAGTCTAAACCTCCCCTGGCAGAGCTTTGAACCATTCCCACGCATAATGCAGAGCTGGTTTGTACTGAGAACCTGTTTTTTTCTCTTCAGATGTGTCTCTGAGTCCAAACCCATCCTTAACTTTCCGCACTATTGGAGGGATCCTCGACTTCTACGTCTTCCTTGGACCCACTCCCGAAAACGTAGTTCAGCAATACACAGAGGTTAGTAGAAAGGTCCATATGGCACATGGGGCAGTATCTTCCAATGAACAGTATTGAGAGCAGAAAGTGCATTAAAGGGACGCACTGATTAGAAAGACATTTGTCCAAGCTTACTCTTCTCTGGGCTGTGATAACTTTACAGTCTTCACTACATGACCGTAACTGTGTTTTGACACTGCAGATAGAGAAAACAAACTAGGCAGAGAACAGATGGGGATGTTTGGGAACTTTACGTCTGCTGGACTTTCAGAGATTTTGAATGAACTTCAAAGGCTTCAAGCCTTTATTTGCCAGTGGAATTGCCTGTTGATTTTGGAGCCGTCAGCCTGTTTTTTTTACTAATGAAAACTCATGTAATTGCACTGGAGAGCATAGATGTGGAAAAACCGTATTTACTGCTGTCTCACAGAGCATAACTACTTGCTTTCCAATTGCCCGGCGTTTTCCAAAGAACTGAGGGTACACATGCAAATAGCTGTTTCGGGAGTGTGTATGCAATTCTAATGCAGTGAGGGCTGCCTGGGAAAAAGTAGCAGGTAACGTATTTTTCCTGGTCACCAAATGCCAAGTGATGTGTTAACTGAGCACTTGCGCAGAAAATTGCCGCTTCAGAACCAAGCTCTGCGCATAAAGAAACCAGCGCCAAGCCTAAAGAGTGTGGAGCAAAGCTGAGATGGGGCATGTCACTGAGAGAAGGGGAACTCGTGCGTGTGGGCCCTGAGGATGAAGCTGTAACTGGAGGTGCCGAGCAGCCTGTGGTAGGACATGCTGGAGTGGGGCAGCTGGAGCGCGCAGGGAGATGTGCGTGTGCTCTGCCTTCCCCTCCACCACCCCATCAAGGGGCCTGAGCTCGGATTTTCAGCAAGTAGTTTGTCTCCCCTGGCTTTCTAAAGCCTCTGTATCCTGTGCTTGCCACCTTTTCAGATGCCTGAAACAGAAATATTGTGGTTTGGACCAAGGGAAAAAAGAGGATTTAGCCCCTATGGAAAATGTTGCTGGGTTCTGTTTTGGTGGTGGAAGGGAGAAGAAGCCTCACTCATGCTGTCATTTTGGGAAGGCTGGGCTCCACTAGACCTTCCTTTTCCAAGCAGAGGTTCAGGTGGTGCCTCTCAGAGAGGTGGGAGGCTGCTGGTGCCCCTCAGCATCCCGGAGCAGGAGTGACTGCTCTGTCACTCAGAGGTTTCCAGCTCCCTCTGCGCATCCTCCCCACCAGCAACCTCTGACCCTGGAGCCACAGACCAACCAGAAAACTGGATTTTGAACTTATACATTAGCAATCAAACAAAAAAAAAACCCAAAGAAAGAAAGAAAAAGTAAAGTGACTCTCCCCTCCTAGCTGCAGCTGTGATCCCTGTGATGAAAGCACCTATTTCAAGGGAGTCGCTGCAGCGGTGGGATGGAGATTAGAGCGATCCCCATTTCTTTTCAAAGTCTTTCACTGGTGTTTGAAGGCAGCATTTCTGTGGCTCAGCAGGTGGCCAGCAGCTGAAAATAAAATGAGACCGTTCTCACTCCCCAGCTGATGGGTACTGGCAGCTCCCTTTCCACCCCTGCCTCTCTGGAAAGGGAGCTGGAGTGAAGAAAACAAGGTAAAGGGGAGAGCCGGTGGGCGTCTCCTAGCGAGACATGTCACGTGCCAGGACAAAAAAATCCCCTGTTCTGTATTCTTCGAGCTTGTGCTCAGCTCTCTAGGGAATCTTAAAGAATGCATGGTAGCAATTTCATAGTGAAATAATAACTTCTTCGGTAAACATCCTGAAATTCCCAGATCGCAAATGTTACAATTACCATATCATTAGTCTCTAGGGTAATGATTTGGCTTTTATGTACAAGATATGTGGGAAGGTGAAGGAGACAGAAAAGACTTTATTTTTCAGTTGTATTTTCTGCCACACCAAGAGGACTCTCCTGCATGGTCATTGTCACTCCCCAGGGAAGGAGAGAGGGTGAAAAGGAGCAGTGTGACCCATATCTGCAAGGCACCACTCAGCACCATCCCTCAGCTCTCTCAGCTGTTTGCATGGGTCTCCTCTGGGAAGTGGTGTTTTGGGAGCTCCAGGGAACCCCAGTGAATCCCTGGCTGCAGGGAACCCCAGTGAGGCCAGGCTGCTCTGCTGCAATGAGCTTCTTGGGGGAATGGCACTCACCTCCCGGCTGTGCAAGCATCTGCCCAAAATCACTTGCAGGGACCATCCATTGCATCCTCTCCAGGATGGTCCCCGTGGTACGGCAGTGTGGCCCGATGCCAGCCGCTGCGTGCCCGTTGAGAGCAAGGGAGCTGTGTCCAGAGCAAAGTGCTCCACACATTTCTCAATCATTTTGTGCTGTTGCTTTCGGTGCCACTTCAAGACCTGGGCAACCCCCCCGGTCCCCGCTGTGCTTGTTTCTGTGAAAGATTTAGGAGCTTAGCTCTGCTCAACGCTTTTATGCAGCTCCCTCCAAACCAGTGAGTTAGGACAGCTTTGTAACGAAGCTCTTTACTGGGTCTCTGGACTACATAAGCTTTCCCCGTGCACCTTTCCAGGTTGCTGCCAGCACCCAGGGGTGGCCCATGGGCTCTTGCCCAGAGCCTGTGCTGCGTGGCCAGCTGGGGCTGTGCCAGGAGCAGGGCTCCCTGAGTGGTGAACGGGGATGATTGCAGCTGCCCTTCCAGGGCCACCAGCCTGTCTTGAGGTGAGGAGGTGTCAGTGAAAGCCGTGGTGGCCCCGGGTACCAGCCTGGCCCAGGCTAATCCGCTTTAAATGGGCTCCAAGCTGTGTCTTGCATGGAGCAGAGGTGAGCTGTAGGACACATCCTGCCAGTGGCACCACAGTGCTACAGCATTGACGGCAGTGATCAGGCATGTCCTGGGCATTGTGAAACGGGAAGAAGAATTCTCCATCACAATTTTTCTGCTCTCTCCTGTCCCTAAGCCCAGCTGCAAGGAGCGCTGCTCCTGGCACATCAGAGGCAGTCCTGCCACACAGCTATATATACATATTTGACAGTAATCACACTTTTCTCCTACTACAGAAGAGGTCCAGTGTGCAGAACAGTTATATAATACAAATCTCACTTTTTTTTTAATGGCAAACGCTTCGGTTTGCAGGAGGGTGGGAAAAAGCAGTAATAAGCTAAAGAGCTCAGCCATTGAGCTGAGCCTGGCTGAGGCTCTACAGCCAGACCTAACACCAGACCACCCTTGCGAAGTCCACTGGTGGCCTTTCAGGACAGAGTAACAGTGCACAGCAGTAGGATATGAGCTCCATAACAAGACACTCAGGAAAGTTATAGTTCAACAAATGGACATTTAACAGCTGTTGAGTGGAGTGAAGGCCATTTTATCACAAACTATGACAAGCTTTAAGAGAGCATACCACATGTCTCCTAATTCTGTATTGAGACCAAATTGCTGGTTTACTTCCTCCTTACAGAACTGTAGGATAGTTCTGTGTGGAAGGGACCTCAGGAGGTTTCTCGTCCAGCCTCTGATCTGGGAGGTAACATGGGAACCTGCTTGTACCTACAGTTTATCACAGATGATTCAGTGAGAGTCTCGTAATTGAATTCACGAGTTCCCCAAGAAAGACTAAGCAGCTGGTAAGTGTTTGAGCAGCAAACAAGGTTTGAAGACCTTGGCATTGGAAGTCCTTAAAATTGTTAGACTCCTGAGGTTGTGAGCATCTTCTTTTTTGCAGTACCTTTCTTCTTTCTTTCCTAAAACAAAATTCAGCTTCTGTGCATAGACTGAGTAAAGGTTACTCCCTGCCTGACTAGGTGCCCACAGCACTCACCTGCCTGTCTCAGCCACAGGAGATGTGCTGAATACAGATGTCTGGGCCATAGCAGCGCCTGTGTAACTTAGCCATTGTGTGATTATCCAAACACACTATTTCTGTGTCTAAATCTGGAGCATTACCCTGCTTGGATTTTTATAGTTTCCTCCTACAGCTCTTCCTTAAAGAAAGGAAGTTTAAGCAAATATCAAGCTTCAGGAAGCATTGTGTATGGCTAATTAGGGTGCAAGATTAGCAGTCTTTCATGTTGAGCCCCTGTACCTGCATTGCTGGAGATCTCAGCTCCTTCGTAAGCATGGGAAAGAGTATCTTTCTCTCTCTACAGCCTCTATGGTGTATAGGGCATAACTCTTCAGCCTTCTCCCTCACATGAAAATCTTTGGTCATAGTGCTAATAGAATAGGATCCTGACTTACTATATGGCGTTTATAACTTAGTTGCTATCCTTGGTGCTTAGAGTAGTAATGGTATTTGTCCCATAACCCAACACAGGGAAAGTGAATACAGATCACCTGCTCCCTGGACACAGATTTTAGCTGCTAGATATACGTGTTTTCACTGAACTTTGTTCTTACTGCAAAACATTTCCAGGGTACTTCCTAGATTCATTGTCTCTCAGGTACATCTGAAAAAAAGTGAAAAAAAAAATAAATTACATAATGCCAAGTTATGTAAACCTGGAAAAACTAACAGTGAATTTATTAAACAACACCAGGAGTTATTTAAGAACTGAGTGCAGGAGGAATTGTGGAATAGAAAATAGGATCTATTTTTTTCTGCTTCTGCACTACCCTATCTTCCCTTTTTTTTTCTTTTTTTTTTTCTCAGTTTGGGTACCCCATATGTTTGCTGTTTCTGCATTTCTCATGTTTTCCTCCCTCGGTTCCCCTGCCATACCTCATTTACCTTTTCTGATTCTATGGGAGTCAATTTTGCCAAGCAGGCTTTCTCTGCCTACTGCATTTTATGATCATTTGTATGCAGAATGCAATCTATATGAATTAACTAGATCCTAAATATATATCAAATCCAACATGAGTTTTCAGGTTTGCAAAATTACATCCCTGCCTCTGCTGATCCATCTGCGAGTAGGTACCATATGTCAGTTACTTTATCAGGAAGCTTCAGGGGGATCCATTAGAGAGAGTCCATGGTATAATTAGAAAAAAAGAACATTTGTTTTCCCAGCTGCCTTGTTTTCATCCTTCCTTTTCAAATGTTCTGCTGATTTCAATTAAGCTCACCATAGATGCGCCAGCCTGGTGAACCTGGGGAACTAATTGCCTTAAAAATGAATATCTTGCTCACAAGGTGGATTTTCTTCAGTTGGTTCAGCTGTAATCCCAAACTTCTCAAAGGATGCTGTCACAAAATGCTGCCTTGCCATGGGGCAGCTTTGTGGTCCACAGGCAAGACCACACTTTCACGTAAGGGAAAGCCGCTGAATTTCAGCGCCCTTTGGGAAGGACTTTGCCCAGCATGCTGGTGGCCACAGCTCCACCTCCAGCCCCACTGGCGTCCACCTCAGAGCTTGACAGGACATGGGGGCAGAAGCATATCCCCACTCAGCTCTTGAACTGTGTTGTATTGGCGATGTCCTCCCCAGCCAGGAGTGACCCAGGGTATCGCAGGACCCGGAGCAGGGCTGCCCAGTGGTTCCTGCTGCCTCTGCCCAGGCTGGTCACCTCCGTGGCCGTTCCCATTTCCCAGCCTGCTTGAGGAGAGGCAGCGGATGCCACACAGACACCCTGCCAGAGCACTGGGCTCTGCCTTCAGCCACAGGATGAATATTTATCAGCTGCTTTTCCCTCTTCCTCTTGTCCAAGGGGAGAAGGCTGTGCACAAAACATTCTATTTCATTAAGGGAGTTCTTTTGTTTTGGTCTGTCTTTTTAACCTTGTTTGTAGAGGTCACTTTCTGTTTACGGTAGAGAAAGCAAGGGCAAAATGTGCATCTGCTTTAGGAGCACAAAGTGGTGGGGTTCACAGAGCTCATCTTGCAGTGTTAGCTGGTCTAAAACAAGCTCTGCTGCCTCCTCAGATGAATTTATCCTTAATAAGGCGAGTGCAGTTGCGACAGAGAAGCAGACTTCTTGCCCTGAGGCTTGCCGTGCTCTGCTGGACACCTCGGTGCTGGCTCATAGGGTGTCTAGGAGATTGTCCTGAGCCATGGTGACCCATTCAGCTCTCCATGGGAAGCCCCAGCAGAGCTTGAAACATAGTCTGGGGGATCGGGTGTGTCCACACAAGCTGGAAATAACTAATGACATGAGTAACCAGATGAGACTGCACCGTGGTGGCAACGGCATGTCTCTGCCCACCAGCTTCCCCCTGCATGGTAGGGGGGCATCTTCGTCTGCCCGGGGCCTCTCCTAGCAAGGGCGCAGTGGTGTGCAGTGAGGGTGAAGTGCAGCTGGGCCAGGAGCATGCTGCTGGTATCTGCTCTTGCTTCTTCTGAAGGGCTTAGCCTCCACCTAGGTTGGAGATGAAGTAGGTATTGAGGAGGGTGATGAGAGTTAAGTCCGGTGGAATGAGAGGAGTAGCAGGCGTCTGGGGCAGCTGTGCTGCTCAGCCGGAGCATCCCTCCTGCAGGCATTCAAACCACTAACCTCACCAGTTGTTCTGGCCTCCTCCTGCATTTTCTTAGGTGTGATAGCAGCATCCCAACAAGCAAAAGCACATTGTGTAGCCAAATTTGTAATGCTTAGTGCTTAAAGTTCACTTATCTGTCCATAAGCCATTCTCATTTGGAATTAATTTGTTCTGTGTGTTCCCCCAACTTGGGTGCATTAAAACCTCCTTTGCTTTTCCCTGCTTCTCTCCTGCATCTGTTTTTCCGTCCGGTGCAGTTTGCACATCCCACCAGCTCTAGCATCCGTCTCGTATTTTAGAGCAATTTCAAGTTTGGCATTGTTTTCCCAGGTCAGGCTCTGACTGGAGACAATCCCATAGGAAGATGTGCCTTTATGCATTGTGATCTCTAGAGAGCTTAGCAATGGAACAGATACAGAGCACCAGGAGTGCCCTGTTTTATTTAATTAAAGTATATGGGGTTCAGCTGCCAATATGCAAGTTTTGTTCTTTTTCACTTCTTAGCCTAATTACCTAACTATGGAGGTCCATAAGGAAATAAGGGAGGAACAGTTATTTAGCCAAAGGGAGTCAATATCTGCAACTGATTAAATAAGTCATGGTGCTCACTAGCTACTTGATTTCCATGTATTGCCTGCAAGGAAGTTAGAAATACAGAACAAAGGTTAATTTCATGGGATCTAACTGTTTAAAACTGGAGTAAGGGTTTCAAGAGATGTCCCCCAGAAAACACCAGTGTGTACTAATGCGGCGACACCAGATTTCAGCTTATTTCTAGAACAGACACATTGTGGTTTCTTGCTGCTTGTCCCAGGTTGCCAGAGCAGCTCTCACCGGGGGAAGCAGAGCAGGATGCCTCGCTCCCCTGTGCTCTCAATCAAGTTTCCTCATGCAATTTACAGCTGGGTTGTGTGGAGCCAGTGGAAATCAAATATTTATAAAATCATATTTAACTCATTACCTCATGTTTCAGTTGAGAATTTCGGGACCAAACAGTAACTGACTTTGAAGAGGTTTGTCAATGCCTGGCAACACAATGCTGTGGGCCAGCAGTAAGAGCAGTCAGTCATAAGTAACTGAATTTCATCGGGATGGTGTGTAAATATAATTAAAACTTCAGAGAGCTCAAATAAACATCAGACTCTTGATGAGTTAGTTCAGCTGGATGCAGCAAGAGAAATTAGCAAAGCTGAAGTTGCTGCGTAGCGTTGGAGATGTACCTGCTGTTGACCAAAGTGTTTGTGGACTTGGCACGGGTCAGGCGTTGAGAGGGTTCACGCTGGGTTTCTGCCGACATGTGCCGTGTAAGTCAATGTACATGCTACTGTGTGAAGGCTGAGACTTCAGCGAGACCCTCATTTAACTTTAGCCTGGATTTTGTACACCGTGTCTTCCACTGTGGTGTTCTTACAAGTGATGCTCAGTGTGGGTGTCACTCAGAGCCTCTGCTAAGGACAAGGGTCCACCAGGAGAAGCACTTTTTTGAAGCCAAGCATAGTGTACAGCGAGCTGTTCTGAGACAGGAAAGGGTATTTCATGGGTGGGTCGTACCTGTGCCCTGATCTTTGTGGCTTAAATGAGCTGGGAGCCTCTCCTGGTGTTCCAGAATAACTTCTCTTCATCTCACCCTTTGCATTTCTATATTCCTCATCTCTGCTGTAGGCCATTGGACGCCCACACATGCCTGCCTACTGGTCTCTTGGATTTCATCTCTCCCGATGGGGTTATGGCAACATTGAAGTTTTAAAGAAAACCGTCGATCGCATGCACTACTATGATATCCCATATGTAAGTACAAATTTTTCACAGTGTATGCTAATTTTACAATCCGAAGTGAGAGGAATAAAATTATAATAGAGGAAATGTGATTATCCTACAAAGAGAATTTTAGAATAAAAGTATGTTCGTAATCTTATGTAGTGGTTTTGCATGTAATATCTTTATATTGCTTAAAAGAACATTTAAAGTGGGCTTTGCACATAAGGTTTAAGTGCTGCTCTTGGCTGCATAGCAGGTGATTCTGGATTTACTGTTATGCAGTATGAGGTGGTTGCATAAAAAAAAAATTATGGTACTTCTGATGCGTATCGCTGCTAAACAGTTGCTAAACTGGGACTCCTACGTTTCCATTTTGTCCATTGCTACCATGTAAGCCTATAGGACCTGAATTTAGCCTGACAATTATTTATAATTATTATAGCCAATCTCTTAGGTTTCATTTCATACGTTAGTTACCTTTTAGAAATACAATCACATACGTTCTGATTTTCTGTATCAAATACTTCAATCATAGAATCGTTTGGGTTGGAAGGGACCTTTAAAGGTCACCTAGTCCAACCCCCTGCAGTGAGCAGGGACATCTTCAACTAGATTACGTTTCTCAGAGCCCCCTTGAATGTTTCCAGGGACGGAGCACCTACCACCTCTCTGGGCAACCTGTGCCAGTGTTTCACCAACTTCATCACAAAAAATTCTTCCTTATATCTAGTCTGAATCTACCCTCTTTTAGTTTCAAGGCACTACCCCATGTCCTATCACAACATGCCCTGCTGAAAAGTTTGTCCCTGTCTTTCTTATAAGTCCCCTTTAAGTACTGAAAGGCTGCAAGAAAGTCTCCCTGGAGCCTTCTCTTCTCCAGGCTGAACAACCCCAACTCTCTCAGCCTGTCCTCATAGGAGAGCTGCTCCAGCCCTCTGATCATTTTTGTGGCCCTCCTCTGGACCCGCTCCAACAGGTCCATGTCTTTCCTGTGCTGAGGACTCCAGAGCTGGACGCAGTACTCATGTAATGTTTACTTTAAAAATGTGCAGGATGTCCAACATTTTGATATCGACTACATGGAACGTCGCATGGACTTCACCTATGACAAAGTGAATTATGCAGGTCTGCCAGAGTACCTCCAACAGCTGAAGAAGGAAGGAATGCACAATGTTGTGATTCTGGTAAATTAACAATGTTGCTAATAATTTCTCCATTTATCAGAACTATTTGCAACATAGTGTTCATAGCAGTATCTAGGTGCTAACGCACACATGCTATTGTAGCAGATTTTCCATTTTTGCCATTTGTTTAGAGGAGCTGAAGAATAATTTTTCACAGATTTCATATTTAAATGTGTTGCATCTATCAGATATCTGTATACCACACCATCTCTATACCATAACATAAATTCTCTTTCACTTTTTCCCACTTATGAGAAATTTTGCCTCCCTTCAGGGCTGAGTTGAGATATAATTGCTTTAATGTATTCTTTTCCTGAAAAAAAAAAAAAAAACAAATGAGTTTAATATGCACACAAAAATAGCAGAAGTGGAAAAAATTTACTCGTTATCACTCTAGAGAGCTAATAGCTACAGTTCACATTACCTTATATTTACTTTTCATCTAAATTAATGTAAGATAAGTTTGTTTGCATGAAAATTGGTGGAAAAATTATGTTGAACCCATAACCAAAACTGATGTATGACCCAATGAATGAATTTGAGTAGAAGTGAAGATCGAAGATTTCCATCTTCTCCCATCAATTTTTCCAACAAAGATTGCTGCCTCTCTCCAGCAAGTTCCCATACATGTCCTTGCACTGGAATTACTTTTTCTCACAGTAGCTAAGTGAACGCCAATGGTGGCAAGGAAATTGGGTGCCAGAAATTAAAGAAAAGTCCTTGATAGACGGGTAAGACTGGTCCCAGCACAGGCTGGGGCATTCACACCACCTGGGAAGGATCAGGGTGGGAAGGCTCAGGAGTGCCGAGACCTGGAGCAGCGCAAGTGGGTATGAAATGTCGCAACAGAGAAGAGAGGTGTAATTTGTTCTCCGTAACCACTAAGGACAGGATAAGAAGAAAAATGCTTTAAATTGCGGCAGAAAACATTTAAGGTAGCCATTAGGATAAAGCTGCCTGTCTGCAAGACGAGCTGACTGGGGTGCCGGCTGCCTGGGGCCAGGGTTCCCTCCCCGGGTGCGTGGTGCGAACAGCTCCCACAGATGCATCAGGGACGGCTCAGGCTGTGCTGACCCACAGGGGGAAGAGGAGGAGGAGGATACAGTCCCACAGAGTCCTTCTCGGGACTTTTTGCTGTAATTGCAGCCTTCTATTTTCCAGCCTAAATGGCCAGCTTACACCTTTCATTTGGGCGCTACTATTCTTATTTACCTCAAACTACCAGTCTCTCATCTTGCTACTTCCTTTCTTGATATACTTACGCGAACAAGCGTATTCTCCCTCAACCTTTTTTTTGCTAGGCTGAACAAACTGAAGCATTTTTTCTCTTTTTACCAGGGGAGGTCTTCAGATCTCATTGCAGTAGGTGTCCCCCACATATGCCCCAGTTTGAATGTGTTTGCCTGTGTAGCAGATAACTGGATTTCACAGTGCTCCAGGTGATGCCCCCACAGTGTTTGGAGAATGGCAGAAATATTTCCTTCTTCTGCCAAAAATTGTCTTGTATGACAAAACCCTGCATCGCATTTACCTACATCTATTGGTGGCTCATACTCATAAAGAGACCAGTTAATCCAGCTGAGTCGTAATGGACTAATGATAAGGCACTAATGTGGACTGGCTTTATTGATCCTGTCTTTTTAAAATAAGGGCTGCGTTCCTCATCTTGTCATGGGGTCCTGTCAATGGCTTCTGGGAAGGGAGATTGAATAGCAGAGTCCTAAATTGTGGGCTGGTTCCTCTTTCACTTGTAGTAGTGTATCAGATGTTTACTGGAGTCAAGACAACCAAGAGCTACTGCAGTTTCCTCATCTAAAAATCACGTTATCTTGTCAAATAGGTAGATTAAGCCAGAAGTGCCTCCCTGCCCTTATTTTTCCCTCCATAATTTGTTGCAAAGTCTGGCATATCATGGAGGATGGACTAGTCAGCACCACAGATACCCATATCAGTGTTTTCTTTTTAAAATACAGTTATGAGGTTTGCTGATCTTTAGTCTGGTGGGGGGGAGGTGTTATCTGGTAGTTTCATTAAAAATACCCACTCTCTATTTATTACTGGCCTAATCTTCACTTTTTTGTACTATAATTGCATTTGCTGCTAGGAATCTCAAACAAAACTACACAGCCCAAGTGATCAATTACATATTGATAATGGAAATAGCAGCCTATATAGTGAGCACTATTTGCATACATTCCCATGAAGGTCCCAGTTCTTCTGCAGTTGTAAATCATGAGAAGCTCCAGGGTGCAGCAGTGAAAACAGTTTCCATCGAGGTCTAAGGCACAGAGTTTAAACAGCAGCAGATTACTAAGTCACTCTGATGGAGTGCAACTTCAAGACGAAAATAGACCAAAATTAACTGGATACATCATTGTAAATAACTAACCAAGCAGTAGATGAGCACATGAGCTGTGAGGACTGAGTGGTCTTTCCAGCTATTAGGCATTTTAGGCTCCCTGTATCCTCAATACTGCTCTAAAAATTATCTAATTATCTCTTCAAGTTAAATAACACCTGCCCGTTTATTCGTTTGGCTCAAAAAATGTTTGTGAGACATGAATATATCAGCTAAATACCATGAGTTTGGGGTAGCTCTTCCCATGCCCACTCTTGCCCTTCAGTAAACATGTGGTAGTCACCTCTTTTTCATCAAAGTTAGGATACCTCCAGTTGTTCTGCACTTGCTGCTGGGTAAGGAGCTACAGGCAAGCAGTCACACTGCCTTCTTACTGGTGAGTTTAACTTCAACCACATTTTTAAAGCCCTTTCAGTTTCTCAGATGGTGCATGCTAGAGCAGTGCGAGGAGCTGTTGCTATATAAATATAAATTCAGCTATTAGGCAGATGCAAGGAATATAACGATGACTCTTAATTCATGCAAGGAGCTGATAGGAATCCAGATAGGAAGCCCTTCTTTCCTCCTTCCACTAACCTGTAACTAAGGGCTGTCCTCTGCTCTAGTTCTTTAGATAAGCTTGTGAAAAAGAACAAAAGCTGATTCAGTTTGTCCTTAATTTTTTAAAAGCTCATGGGAAGTACAGGTTGCACTGGCAGTGAAGTTTTCTATTTTCACTTTATTATAGTTGCCAATATTTCTGTCAAACTGACTGTTAGCATTCTTTAGTGATGTAAAGCATTCCCATAAGTTGAGTCAGGAACTGGAACAGTATGACGGGTTTCATTCCCAAGTGACAGCAAAGCCGTGCTAACTGCAATCAAGGCAAGCGTAATCCAGTTCAATACTGGAAGAATCATTTTCTATTTAGATTCCCTTTGGGTAGTGACAGTAACGAGTGAGTTCCCCAAGTGTAGCAGATTGTTGCCTCCCTCATGATGATTTCAGCAAATGGGCTCTGATTGCAGCCACTTGGTGTCATGTAAAACCTCTAGTAGATGGATTTTGGGGAGACGGGTTCAGTCCTCCTCACCTCAGACCACTATGATCACAAGCAAAGTGCAGATCCTAACAGCCAGCAGTATTAACACCAGTAACCTGCCTGAGGATAGGACCCTGGACTTGGCTGTGCCACCACCGCTGGGGTGGCTGGTGCCTTACCATCAGGAGGTCCAGTCCCCATGCTTGCATCCAATGCCGAGAGCCCTCTGTGCCTGTGGTCACTTTGATAGTAGCATGGCCCCATTATCGGAGTCTCTAAATGCAGTCCTTCAGCACTTCTCTCTCCTGATCTCTTTCAGAGGCCACCTCCATTTAAGGGAAATTTTGTCTAAGAGTGTCAGTACTTGGTCATCATTATTGCTCTGAATAATGTGCATGCTTCAGCTGAGTCAGAACAAATAAATTTTTTAGAAACAAAGAAAGAAGTTCTAAAAGTAACAATGACAACAATGTAAAATGATAAACATCATTACTGAAGAGGAGCTTTAATGAAAGACCTTGCATACCTTCCATTAAATCACACTAAAAATAGGAACAGCTAGGAATGACATGAGTGACAAATTACTTAAAAGTCAATAGCAACATGCTTATGATTCAAAATAATACTTGATAGCTTTAACATTTTAAAGTCCAGCTCTATGAGCTGTAGAGGCTAAAATTTCCAGAGATGAGTTTTTATGGATGTGTGTCAAAATCTATTTTTGGGGCTCATAGGTGGAAGTGTATTGGTCTGGACAAGTGATGGGTGACCCCAGGTCTTGGGGCAATCAATTTTAGTTAAGGATGCTCAGCACCTCCTCTCCAAGAGCTGCTAAAAAGATGAGTTAGGGAAGATTTAACAGACATGAACTTCCTCCCCCACAAACAACCCGTGAATACATGGGAGGGTTTTGTTCTCTTTAGGACGATACTAAACTTGCATAATATATTAGATTTATGCACTGGAATAACCTTTCAGCTGAAGGAAACCAGAAGTTTGGATTAGGAGTAGCTAATTAAGCTGACTCCTTCCAGCCTTCAAGTCCCTCGAGAGACATATTTTCCACAATTATACGATAATTATTGCAGATGGACAGTTTTCTCTTTTCCAAAGCTGAACTATTAAACAGGTTAAAAATGTAATGGACACTTATAATCTTTATGAAGGTGACTCTGGAGCTAAGTAGTTAAAATTGAACAGAATTTTACACTTAAGGTAGGGATTTAGCAGGGGCTTTTGTTTTTGAGGCAAGGAAGAATATGCTTTCCTCACTAAGACTATCGCTATCAGAGTGTTTACAAGTAAATCAGGCAAATAATTTAGATATTAAAACGAGCTTTAAAACATGACTTTAAAGAAATTTACCATTTGGGAACAGATTTCTTTTTTTTGTTCTTAAGAAGTTTATTAGTTAGACTTCTATCACATTTTAATTAAAGTTCACTTAAATTATTGCACAAGCTATAAGTGAATGGAAGAATTGTTTCAGTGGTGTTTTTCTCCATTGTGTTTCATAACTGAAAGGTTTTGCCTTAAGCAGAACCTGAGGGAATAACATTTTCTAAGAGAAAAGTAAAGAATTCCCTTCCCTTCCAAAAATGACTGCAATCTTCCTCTGTTCTAAATAACACAAAGCAGATAGCTGCTCCCAATTAGGGACATATTGCAAAACGCACTTATCTCCTTTTAGTCCCAACTGACTGCTGAGCAGAGTTGAATAGTACGTCTTCATCCACTGGCATCTCAAAGTATTCCTAACTTTATTACTTACTGACATGGGGGGCCACCGTCTTTCCCAGGAGCAGATTAGGCTCCCTTTCGATGAGCTTGGTGGTTACGGATGGCCATCCTGAGGCAGAGAAGCTGGTGGTGTCAATGCTACTGGCAGCAATGGGAGGTGGTGACCACCCCAAGCAGTGAAAGGGGCAGCAAGGACCAGCTATGGGGTGTAAAATGCTGTGATCTTCATGCCTGTGGGGGAACAGAGACGTATGGCCCTGCAGGCACACATGAGTTGGGTTACTCTGCACCAGACTGGCATAAAACATCCTTGTCTGACATGGATCTGAAGGGAGGGCTAGTGAGGTCCTTTTGAGGTTGGATGTGTCCCAGCTTCAAGCCCCTTGAGAAGTGTTAGTTCTTCCATCACTGAGCTGCTGATGCTGAGGCAGCTGGAATGAGGATTGCCTTGGAGGAAACCCAGAGGTGTCCAAGTGTGGGAATGCCCAGTGTGGCACCCCAGTCTGCCAAGCGGGGACTTTGGCAGGAGGGAAAGTAAGATCTAGTGCCTCTCTAAAACCATTTGAACATAGAATGTCTCATAAAAAATAAACATGAGGTTATTTAATAATTTCACATCACTTTTGCCCTATACAAGAAATACTCATGACACATCTTTAATGACTTTTCCTAAATTATTATGTGCTCTCAACTCTTATTAAATTTTAATGCTGTTTTCTTCCAAAATTATTGCAATCTGCATTAAGAACATCATCCAAATTTTTCTAAAATATACAAATAGAAAAGTAATTGTTACCTTTGGGATTTCAATAATGGAAATGTAATCGCTGTTTTCAGGACCCTTTCATAACAAAGGACGAAGAACCAGGCACTTACAGGCCTTATGATCTCGGAGAGGAAATGGGAGTCTGGGTGAACAACTCCGATGGCGTGACTCCTGCTGTTGGAAAGGTTGGTTTATTAAATTCTCTCATGCATTTGGTCTAGTACTGCTTCTAAGTGATAAAGCAGCTGTGTAACAGAAATGAGAAGATAACCAGTCGTTATCCCTGTGAACTCTAGGCCTGGCCCCCCGGAGACTCAGTGTTTCCTGACTACACCAACCCCAGGACAGTTGAGTGGTGGACGCAGCTGTGTCTGGAGTTTAAGGATGTCCTCGACTACGATGGGATCTGGATTGTATGTCTCATTATATTTGCCCTCCCATCTTTAAAAAAAAGAAAATGAGGCTTTTGACACGTGTCTTGCTCTCTTTATTAAAGGATATGAATGAACCATCCAACTTCTTAAGAGGCCAGTATCCCGGATGTGCTGTTAATGATATCAATAACCCTCCTTACATTCCTAGTAAGTAAAGTTTCCTTGATTTTATATATATATATATATTTATCTTGGATAGTTTATTTATAGGTTTTTTCTTAGAAAAAAAAAATCCATCCCTTCATTTTCGATCTTTCCCTGCCTGTTCTGTGTGTTCAGTTATATTTTTTCAGGAGTCCATTGGCTCAGCTTTGGTGGAGTATCAAACATAAGCCACTTTCCTCTGTCACTGGGGCTGCCTCGTAACAGGACGAGAAAAAAGGTGTTTCCTGCCATTCTCTGAGCAACTGGTCTGCATCAGAAAAAGGACAAGTTACCTATATACTGTAACTCAGCTACAGATTCACAGGAGTAACCCTTCTGCCTTACCATCACCACTGCTAGTCCCAGGGATGGGCAGTCTCTGCCTCTTCCACAAATCATGACAAGGATGATGGCATCTCCCTGATGCCTTAATTCAGTACCTTTTCTTTCTCTTAGGAAAGAAATTTTAATTGCCTTAGTAGAAATGGGCTAAAAATAAGTTTAAAAATGCCCAAGCCTGTGGGGGACTGATAGGAATGGGACCACCTCTTCCAGTAGCTGAGTTAATGACATGCTCATTCTTCCCCAGGAAGCCATGAGTACTTACAATTAGTGCCAGTGGTCCTGGCAATTAATCCAGCCAACATTTCCCTAGGAAAGTCCGGCTGCCCAAGCAATGTTAATATGCAGGAGGAAGTTGATACCTAAATGAGTTATTGACAGTGAAGTATTGGAAATGTCCCCTTTTTCCCTTCAGGCTGTTATACTGCCATGTGAATTCTTCATTTTATTTATTAAATCTCATTTCTTTTCACTGCGGATGCAAGAGGAACATAAACATAACAAAAACATGACAAAATATTATAAAAAGACTGTAAATTATTGAAACCAGAGGCAGAGCTTCTAATTATGATTTTGGTGTTTGCTCTCTTTGCGGGGAAATGCTGATTGTAACTGCTGTATAGTGTCCCTGTGGGTCTTGTCATTGACTAAAGCCCAGGAACTGATGAGACCTTTCCACCTTTGCTTTAAGGTACCTCCCCTTTTGTCAGCATTGAGAGCTGCCAAAAAAAGATGTGAGACTTTGGGGAATATGGCCAAAACAGCAGAGCTCCCTTTACCCTCACAAATAAAGGACTGAGGGATGGACCATAAGAGGTTTCTGAGCCATGAAGCTGAGCTTTGCGACAACTAGTGTTGAATTCTGGGCTGTTACAGAGGATTCAGACTTAGAGACCTAGATGTCTACATGACATGTAAGGACAATGGGCGATGCTGAGGACAGGAGTGTTCTGAGCCCAGTTTCTCTTCCTGACTTGCTCCTTCTAGTGCACGTATGCACCTACTTCTGCTTGCGACTCACAGTGTTGGTCTCCCTTCTGCAGACAGGAGCCTAAGGCATTTTTTTCAAGGTGTAGGAGATCTGCTTTCAACCAGTGCTTAAGGACTTTCTTTTATATTCTACTTTATGACAACTCTGTGCATGCCCTTGGCTGTCCAAGCCCTTGACTGGTGTAGGTGTGAGGTAGGAGTCAAGCTGCTTAGTCCAACAAGACATTAAGACCTTCGTGGGGTTGGCAGGGTTTTGGGGGCTCACTGTTGTCTCAGGTGACTGAATCTGTGCAAATCCCAGTCTCAGTGCCTCAGGCTTTTCATCCATGTAGCCTTCAGCCTCCTTGTCTAAATTATAACCGCAATTACATGTAACCGTGGTTTGAACTTCTAAAACCAGATGTCCTTCAAATCAATTTTCTATAAAACACTTTATACTGGAGATTAATGTGCAAATGCACAATAATCAGTGTTACTGAGGCAGAATACGAAATACTTAGACTAAGAATGAGGCATGAAAATATGACTCATGCAAAACCATTTTCTTTCATATCGCACCTTGATTTTATGGGGCTAATAATTAAGTGCCACTGGGACATTAAGTGTGACTTTACCCAGAACCTTAGTGTCTTCTTCAAAGCCTTATCAGTCAAAGTTACTTGGAAATTGCCTGTAAATTAAGTTATTTCTCATGCAGATCAGCCACACTGGAGTGTCTGTGTCTAAAAATCCAAACACAAGGATTCCAGCTGTGGTGGCACAGCAGAGCAGAGAGGCTAATGGGGTTTCAGGTACAGAGAAACGCACTTTGTAGTAATGAACTGCAAACATACAGCAAAGTGCGATTAAGCAGTGAGATTGCTTGCTCACGGAGAAGTATTTACAATAATGCGTGCACCTAATTAGGCATGCAAAAGAAGAGTATTCGAGAATCTACCTTCCTTCCTTTTTTTTTTTTTTTGAGAGAGGATTTTAAAACATTTTCAACTCCATCTCTAAAAATAAATACGTTGTATAAACGAAACATCCGACCTGCCCAGTTCCTGCAGAACTTCACATGGCATTTTCATGGAGGTTACCTGCAAAGGATGAGAATCACATTTCCTGCACCAAATGGGCTTTACCAGCATCTCCTTAATACGGGATGAAAGACCAGGCAGCCTCTGTGCAGCTAATTTGTGCCTCATAATGTTTCCCCTTGGCTCAGCTAAACCAGTGCTGTGCCAGTGACATCAGGGCTATCCCTGACTATTACTGAAGGAAAAAAGCTACTGCTGAAGTAAAAAAGGCTTCGCTGCCTGTGACCTGCTGATAGAAAGTTACTGGATAATCCATCCACATGTGAATATACCCATTATAATCTATCCTTGCTCTCTTCTGTGCAGCATATCGGGCCGTAGCAGATGACATCCTATGGACTGCTGCACCTCATGCTTTTTCCTCCCCTGCACACCTCCGACACTCCCCACTCATTGCTCCCGATGCTGCGTGGGGCCGCGCCATCAGTCCTGCTGTCCTTCAGTCCTAGATGCCTCAGGGGAGGAGAGGGGCCACAGTTGAGCTTAGGTGTGAATTTTGCCATGCTAGGGCAGAATTGTGCTGCCTACATACATCTGCAGCTGAGTGACATGCAAAATGAGGTCTCGTGATTTCACACAACCATACGAGTTCCCTGGGCACCTGATTTTCTGATTTGGGTTTTTTTCCTCTTGAAACATTTTTGCTCTTAAGTAAAATTTGTCACTATGTAAAAGAATATGTAGGTGTATTCTTAATTCAGCAATGCAGAAATTTTCTTTCTGGCTATTACTTCCTGAATATATGATATCTGTTCAAGTATTTTGAATTATTAGACACAAAACTTGAAATTAATTAGCAGTGCTTACTCTGTCCTCTCACCCTCCTGATAACACATGTGCCTGTCTGCAAGCAGGTATTCATGGCTACACATTAACCTCTAACCAGTGCAGGTCTGGCACTTCTTCAGCCCTTCCTCTTCCCAAATCCTTTGGTGTTTCCACCCCTAAATGAGTAGAAATATGAAGAGATTTGAATTGTGATGTATATAATTATATAATGTTTTGTATCATTCTCAGCCATTTCTGATCGTTCCCTGGCGCAAAAGACATTGTGTCCCGACTCCAAGACTTACCTTGGAGAGCATTACAACACCCACTCTCTCTTCGGCTGGTCACAGACAGAACCAACTTTCAAGTAAGTTTTCTAAGTATTTCTAAGCAGATTTCAGGTGACTGAAATACATTTTAAAAGTCAGTGATGTTACCTGGGAAATCTGTAATAGAATCTAATAAGAAACAGCCCCGTGCTTCATTTTACCATTTGTGATTTAGTAAGAAGTTTCAAGAAAAGAGAATCTTGGAAGAAGAGGCAGAATTCTTTCCAATTTTACTTTTCTTAGCTAAAATCAGGATCTACTTATAGGGCCTATCTCTTCAGCTGCTGCTTTTGTATAACTAGAGCAAGATGTTCCTGTCCTCCGGTAAAGCTGCTCACGTGCAGCTGCTGCAGAAGCAGCCTTGTGTGGCGTCAGGGGATTTTTTCCATCCCTTCATTACCGTGGCCCAAGCAGAGGAATTTCTATCACTGCCAGTGAAGGATTTGAAACTTGCAGCTCCCCCAGCTGCTTCTGGAGCTGCCTCTCGGTCCTGGCAGACAGCGTTTTGCGTTTTGGCTTGGGGGTCAGTCGGTCCGTGAGGGCAGACTTGCTGTTGGCTAATGTAAAATTAATTTTGTAGCTGGGAAGCACTCAAAACTAGCTTACACAGGCAGACTGTTGCTGTGAAGCTGGAGTGACAGTGGAAGGCTAGCCGTTGGATTAAATCCAATGGGCAAATCATGCCTTTTCCAGCAGAGATTGAGCTAAAACATGGAGAAGTTTAATACTGCAATGTAAGGGCCAAAGCAAGGGTCCTTGTTCTCATTTATTTCAGTATTTAGCACTCGTTTTCTGCAGTTGTATTGTGATAGCATCCAGAGGACATGGCTAAGTGAGCCTACTTCTGGTGCTGATGCACTTCTATTTTACATGCCAAGCCTGGGGGAAGGGAAGCACTAGGTAAAAGCCAGAAGCACTTTGCCAGCTCTTGTGGGCCTGGCTGAGCAGCAAGCCCTCAAACCCATGACCCCGCTGGCCACCCAGCCCAGCTAGGACACATGGGGCTTAGCATGGCTTTTGGGCCCCTACGCCCCAATCTCAGCAAAGATCCTCCCATCACTGGTGTCTCCACTGGGATTTGTCCTCTGCATGCTCAGGTCTACGTAACAATACACTGTCTCAGTAACACTGTTCAAATAGCGATTTTGGATTTGCCTATCTTCTTGAGCTGGTTTTTTTTTAGTTTTATTCAGGATCTGTGCCAGCAAAGCCAATTGCTTGAGGCAAACGCTCTGATTTTAGCAGGAAAACTCCATGTACCGGCACATCTGTCCCAGCCCCTTCGGCGTGCACGCTGTCCTGGCCACGCTAACCCAGACCAATGCTGTTGGGATGGTTACTGCTGCACGGCTCCTTGCAGCCTCCCCCAAGGCTGCGAACCTTCCCCCTTCCTGCAGCACTTGTTTCCAGGGCTCCTTCCAAAAGAAACACATATTTTGCGCAGCCGAATGTAGAGAGTCCTTCAAGGCTGGAGAGCACCACCCAAGGCATAAGCAGAGCCTGGATTCACTGCAAAGCTGGGAAACTCTGGTGAAGAATTTTTCATGTATATTCTTTGGGTTTCTCAAACACATTTCTTTTCAAGGCTGGTTGTATACCCTTTCTGCCTTCTCTCTTCACAAATAATATGCTAAATTAAATTACCAACAGGAATATTTAGCAAACCAGCATCACTTGCAGGATATTGGCTGAAAACAAATGACAAGTTCATAATCGTATAAAAAACAATTCTAAGAATTATTCTAATGCAGCCAGAGAATAGGAAATATGTCATCTGACCCACGTCAAATAGCTTGAATTTGGGTACATGAACTAGCAGCAATCGGCTTGTGCATAGCTTAACGCCAAGAGTTATTTGCACATGATATTCTGCAAATAATTTCAATCGACAAATGCATTTGACAACATTAGGACCTGTTCAGTGATGGTTCGCAATAGACTGAAATTTATTCAATGAATTACTTGTTGCAAATTGTTTATGCAGCTCTGGGTCATAGTTGAGTTGATCTGATGTCGCCCTCGTTAGCACCTGCATTTGCAAATGGAGCCAAAAACTTGTGCTGCACAACCAGCAGAGAGGACTCGCGCTCCATACATTCATGAAATGGCTCCAAAATGCCATTTATACAGAACACATGGAGTCTTGTGCAGTTATGTGGCCCAGCGGTGCTCCTACAACCCAAAATCAGCAGGTCTCTCATGGTTCAAGAATTGCGCCTCTTGCTGCATATGGCCCATAAGGTTAATATGTTTAGGCGTGCATGAAAGTTGTTGGGTTTTTTGCTTCAGAAACAAATGTTGAAGCATTTTAAAGGCTCTGTGCTGCTACAGAACCAGTATCTAATATTGGCCATTACAAATATGGATGAAAGAGCTCTTGATCAAATCTCATTTTTGAGAAGGAGGTGGATGGTGAACATGATTAATATTTCACGCTAGGATTTCCCAGAGAATCTAAGTTTTGTTGCCCAAATCGTATTAAAGCAGAGCTGAATTTGAGTTCCTGCAATATATATTGCTGCAATATGTAATTACATACAGAGCTTATCCAATGCTGAGGAATTTTGTAACAGATTTGTTAATAAGGTATATTGCGCTTCCTTGATTTTCTGGTGATATAGCAAAGTTATTTTCAAAAGGCAAGGAAAAATTCATTACACCAATAATTCTGTAGTGATACCAAGCAGTGACAGGAAACCAGAGGAAATACTACAAGGATGGGATGACATTTTGCATGATTACATTTTTTTCTTTTTATATTGATTATTTCTTTTTTTAAATGCTCAGACATTCTTTAGGTATAGATTTCTTTTTTACTTTTAATTCCAGGATATTAGAACTTTATTTGCCAATACAAATCTTTAAATAAATCCTATATTGAGAAAATATACATTATACAGCTGTTTAGGAACCTGTAAATTTAGGATACTAAATTAAATATTCTAATACAGAAAGGAAATTATGTTTCAATTTTTCAGTTTGAGACACTGTTGAGAATAAATTAAACATAAATTATTTTTTAGGAAGACTAAAAATACCTGAAACATATTGCTTTGTGGATCAGATAGATTTTAGGTTTCCATGTTGGCCACTGAGTAAAACTTCCCATTATTTGCAGTTTTGCAGCCACATTTTCACATGACTTGGGACCACAGTAGTAATTGTTTCATGAATAACACCCCTTCAGATAAAATTGTGCCTGAAAGCTCAGGTTGATCATATGACTCTTTTGGTTATCATTCTTATCTGTAATGATCTGGCTGCATTTCTTTGCAGTGTGGTCCAGCAGGCAACTGGAAAGCGAGCGTTTGTCTTGAGCCGGTCTACATTTGTTGGCAGTGGGAAGCACGGGGGTCACTGGCTGGGTGACAACTTCTCTCAGTGGAAGGACATGCACCTGTCAATCATTGGAGTCCTGGAATTCAACCTCTTTGGCATGCCCTATGTAAGTCCGGTGTCCTTCAGGCAGTTGCTGGCTCATACACAATATCACTTTAAATTAACTCGACTGTTTTCTGAAATAAGCTGCTTGAGACGGCCAGCAGTAACGGCCTCCACAGCATAAGGAATTGCAGATTAAAAAAAGCTAAATGTCATCAATCTTGGCTGGCTGAAGAGAAACAAAAATAGCACTGCTAGATTCAGATTAAATGACTGCATGCCATCAAAAACTGATCTCTTTATATTATGTATTCTATCATTGAGGTCCCTCCATATATTTCTGGTTTTGTAAGCTGAGCTGGAGAATTTGTAGAATTATTGAAATATGGTCAGATCTTCCACAGTGATGTTAATGTTCTAGGACCCAGTCCTGGAAAAAATTGTATCATTATGGAGCATTCTTATAAAGTCATCAGAAATAGGTACCTCTTTTCAAAACTTATTTTTATTAACAAACTTCTGTAGTTTCTCATTTTTGGGCCTCAGTCACAATCGCAAGCACTTCTCCAATGATTTTATTTTTTCTTTAGATCGGTGCTGATATCTGTGGGTTTAACTATAACACTACCTACGAACTCTGCTTGCGCTGGATGCAGCTTGGCTCTTTCTATCCATTTTCCAGAAACCACAATGCAGAAGGAAATATGGTAAGTAAACAGTTACACAAAGCTGTGATCTATGATTACAGTAATGACGATGGTGATTTGTACTACTTTCTCAGAAACTAACCTGCCATTCTCGGGTAAACTGGAGTGGCGGCTGAAAAGGAGTGCTCCACTGAGAGCAGGAATTACACGTTGAAGTGTAAATTTTTCCCATCCGTAACATAACGATGACAAAGAAACATTGAAAAATAAATAGTATCTAACATCCAAAAGCCATGCAGAAATGTGTACTGTGTACTTTGAATGAGAGAAAATGGTCTTCCCATGCTGTTGGTAAGATTCATTCCCTCCATCTTTTACTTACTGAAGCCCAGGTTTTATTTAAGAGCCAGTGAGTATCAGCACATCTTCCTACTCACTTGTTTACTTCAATTTTTGTTTCTGTGCTTCTGTAACTAGAATAGGTATTGCGGGAAGGGGACAGAGGGCGTTATACACCATCCTTACTGTTTAAAAGCAAGTTTCAGACAAATGTGACAGTTAGAAACCCCAGACAAACAAGTGAGAACTCCAAGGAGAGCCAGCGATAGCGACAGCATTATCAGCCAAGAAGCAAGAAAGACTAAAAAAGCCCAATGAGCCCACGAGAAGGATTAAAAAGTGGAGTCTCCATCCAGACCCATGTCCTGGCTTTGACTTATCGTAAACTCCTTTCACAACTTGTCACAGATAGAAAGAAGTATCAGGTTGTTTCTAACTATGGACGGTTTGAAGGTCTTGCAGCCTTTGTAGGTACACTGTTTATCTGCAACTGCGATTAAATGGTTCTGCTAGTTCAATAAATGTAGGGTTGTTTTCTTCTGTAAACTGATCCATGCAGTGCCGGAGCTCAGGTTATTAGCTAACCCTCAGTTTTCTTCAAAGTTGCATCATCAAAACGTTGCAACATTTACACCCCCAGAAAGACCTCTGTCTCCGCAGGAAAGTATTATGGACATTCAGCAACTGGGCAAATGCAGGACTAACAAGCTCTGGTGCCGTCATTAAGAGGGTCAGGAGTTACCCTGTAGATCCCTGAGATATGCTGAGATATTTCTCTCCGGGAGAACAAATGTCTGTGAGGCGTTAGCTGCTGCTGTTGATAAATATTTTTTATTTACCTCTCCACTAAAATTAGAGGTACCTTATCTGTATATGTTTTCTTTGCCCTTTGGGCATGCAAATAGAGACTGACCTGGGTCAGTGGGTATTAATCACACATGCACAACTTAATAAGCAGGAAAAGAGCCGTGGGTCTCTGACAGGAGGTGCAACTCAGTGTTGAGTGAATGACAGAAGTAACAGAAGATACATTTGGTTTTATTGGATTACTTAAATCCATTTAAAAGATTGTATTCACTGAAAGAAACGAACAAGGCATTTTGGATGACTCAGCATCACCTAAGGAGTCTGACTGTTTTTTTGTGAACTTTGGCAGTATTTGTACAGTGTCAGAATACTGGTAAAAATATAGTGCAATTTTTGAAATAATAGATGGATGCTCCAGAGCTCAGAGCCAGCAGGGAATATTATCAGCGACTAATTCTGATGTAAACATAATAATGGAGAAATTTAACTTAAATATTGAGTTTAATTAATATAAGTTAGTGTTAAAATGAAATCTTAAATACCCACTTTCCCTAATCCATTGGGGGTTTCAAATGGTTTAATTAATACTTTTCCTGTCTGAAAAGCACTAGATAATATAAAAAGCTTTGTTACTTCTGTTCCTTTTATGTTTCATTATCCTTGGAATTCATCATACATTCTTCAATTTTAATGAGAAAACTGAGTATTATGGGAAAGTTTTGTGAAGGAGGAAGGGAGCCGTGTGACTCGTTAGCTGACTCAGTTTAGCGCTGGAGAAGGTCGGACAGGAGGAATTAAAGGCGATGGAGCTCTTTCCTGTATCAGCACTGCCCCGAGCTGCGTGCTCTGCATCCCATCGCAGGGGAGAGATGAGGTTGCCTTGAAGCAGATCAGAAGCAGCCAACGAGTGTAGACAGATCGCTTAAACCTGCCCTCTTGATGGTGGGACCCAGCATGCGTGCCCTCTCTCCCAGGAGAGCATCACTGGCAGAGAGGAGGAGAGGGCACTGCTGATGCGTGGGCGTCCCCTCAGCATCCCAAAATGGTGGGCACAGGAGGAGAAATCAAGTTTCTTTGTATGGATGAAATGTTTTCCTCACTGCACACAGTGCCTTCGGTCACTCCTCTTGGCTTCACCAGGGCCATGAATTTCCTCTTACTTTTAAACAGATTTGCCTTTATGTGCCTGGCCAACGTAATTATGCTTTTGCCTTTGTTTTGTAGATTGTCAGTCTTCCCTTTTTCCTGTGTTCCACCTTCTCTGTCCCAGAGGGCTTGTGTCTCCAGGATAAATTAATTTCTAGAGACAAGGTGTCTGTTCCCAAGCACAGACATGAAGCCCCAGCTCCCCTCCCGTCACGAGGTTAGGGGCAGTTGCAGATGGCTCACACACACCGTGGTGGGGCCTGATGTCTCTGAACTCACTGCAATTTTTCATGTTGAAAAACTTTATACAAATTTTACTTTGGTGAAAATGGATATTTTTCTTAATACATCTTCCAGTTTACAAATCAGTGCTTTTTCTTATTTAAACATTCACTATTGTAGCATTACGTCAGCCACAGCTCTCCTTAGGTTGCACGCAGGTTCTCTGTTGGATTTGCAGTCCCTAGTTATAATGCTCAGCACAAATCAAAGCTTTTCCTTAACAGGAACAAGACCCAGCAGTGTTCGGAGATGAGTTTGCCAAGATAGCTCGTGCTACGCTTCGGATCAGATACTCACTGCTGCCATACTTATACACCTTGTTCTTCGAGTCTCATGTTCATGGAAACACGGTGGCACGGTCACTGATGCACGAGTAAGTTTGGACTCCCTCTTTTTTATCATATTTTACTCACAAAAGTAGTTGAACTATGTATAAACTAGTCGATATCTGTTTAGAATAGTCACAGTAATATTACTGCTTGCACCCTCTTAAAAAGGACAGTTTTACAAGGAAATCTAATCAAATTATATGCACAAAAATGACTCTTAATATATGCAGTGGATTTGCGTTAAAATATAACCCATATTTGTTTCCAGTGGGAAAAAAAACTAAGCAAGGAGAATTTGGAAAATTTCTTGTCTTAGGCAAATATGCAGTTCTTTTTTGTTTTAAAAATAGGAATCACATACCTGTATTTTCTATGTTTGAATTAAATCTATGAAATCTGTATTCTGGTCCAGAATGTCAAGAAGGCTTCATACCGAGAAGTCTCCATTTTCCAATCATCCACAGCATTTGCATTTTCCAATTTAGTACTTGCATCTGCATGCTATGTATGAAACCTGCATCTGTGTCCACAAATTGCACAGAGAAAACAGAGATAGAGACGTTTGAGTGTAGAAGCAGGTGCAATCCCGAGATTAATAAATACAGACTGAAAAACCATTTGGAAAATGTGACCTCAGATTTTTGGAACAACTCATTTTTTCTGTTTGGAAGAAGCAGGAATCAACGTGAGGTTTAGTTTCCCTCTCAGCATCTTTTAATTAGCTTTTCACCTGCTTTTGGTAAATTTTCTGCTTCAGAATGCTTTATGCAAAGACTTGAGCCAAAGGAGTGCAAATAATTCATATGAAAGGCTACTGCCCAAAGCTCTGACACAATTTACTCTCATTGGTGCAGGCTACCTCCTGGATTGTTTAATGTTCTTTTTCCCTTTAGGTTAAAAACATTTTGGTTAAAGGGTAAGGCATTTTTTGCAAATTAAACTGAGATTACACTAAAGTGCAGACCATTTGAATATGGAAAGGATATGCACAAAAGCTGTTTAGCATACTCATTGTAATGGCTAACTGATAAATTTTAGAAGCAGTATATTCCCCCTTCCTACTATGCTACCTTATTTAATTGGGTTACATTAAGGAGAAGTTTCATAGGTACTCATGTCTTACAAGGGGCTATATGCTATTTCAAGTATTTATTTTAGCTCTATTTTCACTTAATGAGATTTGTGTTAATATTGGAAATGACCGGGTTCATTTTGGCATTAATATTAGCTAATCTCTGCTAATACGGAATTACTTCAGTGATGTTAAAGCTGCCTTTCTGATTGTTCCCAGCACACTTGTACTCTATTTGGGCCATATCTACATTAGCAAATTTCCAAATTTGCTTTGGTTTGAATTGTAGAGCAGTCTCAGATGCACCAGCGGAGACTCCCATCAGGTGAAACTGAACTGAAAGGTGCGCTCCAGCCATTGATGGGAGTTTAGTCAGTGGGACCAGACTGGGATTAACTTGGAAATAAACCCTCTAAAGCACATGTAGGGAGTGTAGGCATCAGGAGATCAGCCCAAACTGTTTCACTACCCAGGTCCCATCCTAGTGGGCACATCACTTGCTAATGTTGCCATAGCTAGATCCTAAAATGGCTTAAAAATATTTCTTACTATTATTAGTTAATTCTGGTTACTATTGTTACTTAATGAGTATTTCTTACTATTTCTAATTAACATTCATTGGTTTAGTGGGTCTGCTCAAGAAGAGAAAGTGACCTAGATGCTAACAGGAGAAATGTGGGGTTCAGAGAAAGAGAGAACAGAAACAGAATTCTTGATGTACGGATGATGGAATTTTACAGCAAACCTTTCCCTTACTTGAAACAAATACAAAGGAGAACTAAAAAACCTGCACTCGTTTTTCAGGTGGAGCTGTTACGAGTCCACAAGCCTCACCGTGATAACAACTCTGCCTGGGCAGGGAGTCTCCAAGCAATAGCTATTTCATGTGGTCATTTCAGATTTTTCATTTCATTTCAAATATTTAGGTGCTCATTTCAAATAACAAACAAGAACAATGTCCCAGTAGATTCCTATAAGCATTTTTAGATGCTTCTGAGGCTTTCACTCAGTGAAACAGAGGTGCCAGGAGCTCAGCTGTCCAAAAAGATTGGGAGGTGGTAATCCATTACTGGAAGGGGAAGCTCTGCTTAATGGCTAAAGAGGGGAAAAATAAGACAGAAGAGAGGCCAGCATCTAACCATAGGAAGCATGTAGATGATATTAAGCACCTTTCATAGATCACAGATATGGCGTAATGGCTTATATTTTCAGAATGGGAAAGTTCCTTTGTTTGCTGAATTTGTGCTCGTGGTTGTTATCTTTGCAAGAGAAAATAGTGCTGAGTTAGATGGTGAGGCACTTGTTTCCACGTGTGAATCAGATTGACTTCTCTGAGCTTTTTCTCCTGAAATCTCCCACAATGAGGTATATTGAATCAGTATTATAATTTTACTATGGCAAAATTAAAAATACAAAGAAGCTATTAAGATGACAACAAAAACTAATGCTTTATATTTCAAAAGCTTTAAGACAAGGTAATTCATCAAAAAACACATCCCCTTTAAATATTTACAAAGCATTATGTCAAAATGCAATAATGACCAAGATCAGGTGTCCAAAAGAGCTGCTGTTTTTGACAGAAAAAAAACCCTCTGAATAAATTGAGGTTTCTTTCAGGCAGAGCCTGGGGCATGCCTTCAAGAACATTATTTCCTGAGTTCCATGTACTCCCCTAAACTTGCAATGTTTTAGAAATCCAAACACCGAATAGACGTCTTTTTATTGCCAAGGTGGTTTTGCTCATTTAGGGTAATTTCTGCAAGTCTGGAGTGGGTGCAGTGTGTGCCTATGCCCTGAGCAGACAGGGTGTCAGAGCAGGACACCGACACCGAGCCACTCTGCTCCGGCCAGCAGACAGCAGAAACATGCCTTTAGATGGGGGCAGCTGCAAAGTCAGTTAAACAGACAGTAAATAAATTTTTAAACAAATAATTCGTACGTCCTTAGAGAATCATACGTTAATATGCAACAGCCAGTGTGAATTTGTCAAAAACGAATGATGGTAAAACAGCCCCATTTCCATCTGTGACAAGGCAGCAGAGGTGCTGGATGGGAAAGGGGGCAGAGGAGCAGGAGAAAGCAGGAGGTACAAGGTACCTTGATTTCAGGAGGGCTTGGGACACACTCCACGTGACATTCTTATAAGCTAATTAGGGAATGAGGATCTGTTTATGAATTTCCTCAGAGACAGGCTTACAAATGATTTAAAGCCTATTTAAATTCTCAAGGATTTTATGCCAGATGAGTGGAGGTTCCTGAGATGGGGAGGATCTCTCCTCTTTGCCAGGTGCTATTCAATATTTTCATTAGAATAAAGATCTCTTCCCAAGCTGGCAGATGATGCCAGGCGACCAGGACTGTAAGTACTCCAAAGGACATGATCAGAATCCAAAATTATTTTAATGCATTGAATAAAATGGGCTGAATTCCATGAGTTTTCATCCATTCAGGAAAGGCAGCTAAAAAGCGCAATATGTATGAATGTTGCTTTTTGTTGGTTCTGCAAAAGATTTCTAATGTAAATCAGTGAAAGGTGCAGGAAGCCAAATCCAAGGATTTTCACAAATGCTTTAGATCCTAGAGCACAGTGTTATTCCTCTGTGTTCCCTCTTCTGGTCCTGGCCCCTCTCCAGCTCTTTGGCTCCCTCGATGAAGTTTCAACCTACTAGAGAGAAATTAAGTTTGTTGTCTTCCCACTGAAAAGAAATCAGCTCCAGCATTTTGTGAGGGTTCTGGTCTGCTCCAGGATGGTAGGTGCTACCATAACTTCTGAATCTCTGTCCAGCTTTTGGCATTCCCTCAATCAGGAAAAATATTTGGTGATGTTGAAGGACATCTTGAGGAAGCAGATTTCTTGTCACAGTGAGTAATATCAAAATATTCTGCAAGTTCTATAAAAATATGAATTAACATTGCGTATCTCACTTTCAACACTAGGTTTACCTCCGATCAGCAGACTCATGGAATAGATACTGCCTTCCTTTGGGGACCTGCTTTTATGATTGCTCCAGTTCTTCAAGAGGCAAGTACTGTAATTAAAAAATGCCATCATACTGAAATCAAAGAAATGAACTGCGCTTAAGGCATTGGATGACATTCAGGACATGTTTGCTCAATGCCCACCCATTTCTTCCCTCTGCTGTCAAAACTCGCAGAACGCATTTCTGAGCAGCTCAGACAGTGCAGAGCTGCCCAGTGCTTGAAGTGGGAGGATGAAGGGAGGGCACGGCATTTCCCTGCTGCTCCAAGCGCCGAGTGGATGTAAACAGGCTGGATGCTGCCCCTCGCGTACTCCTGCTATTGTGCTGACAGCTCCCTCCAAGGGCACACACAGAGCAGTAATTGTCGAGCTAGGAAGAAACATGCAGATATTAAAGCAAACTGGTTTCCATATTACCACTCACCCACAGCGGGCTGGAACTGCAGCGTCTCGAGGGCTGCGATGGGAGCATCCCAGCATCACAGGCCAAAACAGTCATTACGGAAATGGTAATGACAATGGTAGCTGCTAACATGACAGGTTTTAAAAAGCAGCATTTTCCTATGGCTGTGCTGGGCATGGCGCTGGGGTCAGGGCTCTTGCTGCTTGGCTGGAGCAAGGGGGGGTTTCTCTCCTTGCCCCACCACTGACTGGTCTCTGCACTGCGTATGCTCTCTGCACTCAGTATGTCTGAGCAAAGTTAAATATTTGCATGTGATGTATTCTAGAGCATGCTGCCAGAATAGCTGATACATGTTCTAGACCTTGCTGATGATCGAACATATAAAGAGGCCACTGTTAGCCACCTTTCTTTAACCAGCCCTTGTGCCTCTGTGAATTTAAAATGACATTTTTATTCTGCATCTAAAACCATTCTGACTCCACTGAGGCACTTCGTTCATCAGTCCTCCATCTTCAGACTCCCCGCGGTTTCTAATAGCTGATGACTAACAAGGAGATTTCACAGGGTCTCAGACCAGCAAGATGATGAAAGATATGAGAGAAACCTTCCCAGGAAGAGAGGGTGACAAGCCAGGGGTGGCTTCCTGCAAAGAAATGCGTGAAAGGGAACATTATATGGATGTATAAAATGACAGGGGTTCTAGAAAAGGGGTTCCTAATATTTTGGGGGGGACTGCAGCACAAAATTAAGGGAGGAGGCCTGTGCCCGTATGGGGGAAGCAGAGGTTTGGAGGCAATACGTTGCTGGGTCTTGTGGTGGGAGAGAGGTGGCAACCAGGGCTTGTGGCAGCTAGCAGGGCAGGGGGCAGGGGTGGGCTGTAAGCCCCTCACCACGGCATTGCAGGCCACCAGCAACTGTGTGAAACTGCAGCATGGCACCCACTTGTCTAGCGAAGATGGATCACAGACAGCTTTACCTTTGGGTCAGGGACAGCTTTCCCTTTGCTCCTTGAGTCCCAGAGTGTGAGGAAGTGAGACAGCCATCAGAATTAAAATGGGGAACTGCCTTACACACTGGCTTGTTATTTAGGGAGTCATGAAGACAAGGCTCATTGTGATTCAGATGGTGGTTACACACTTCTTTGTAGACCAGAATATCCCAGGTTGTCATAATAAAGCAGAGAAAGTATGGAGAGAGGAGCATCTTGACTTTATAGGGTTTTTCCTTCAACTTTGCAAGGCACTTTATAGCTTAAGCCTACTTGTATTTGTTAAACAGCTAGCAATATCTAAACAGACAGAGCAAACTACGCCAGCCTTCCTTACTGCAGCACTGGGACACTTTGCCTGAAACACCGAGCACTGCCCACTGTGGGAGACAGGCCACTGGACAAGACAAATTTCCAGTTTAGCAATTCTTGTATTCTAATGTGAGCTTTGCATACTTTCATAAATCAGTTACTTCTTACTCCTCCTATTGGTGCTTATATATATGTAAAATCACTAAAGTGTCAAATGGTAATTTTGCCGTAACTCTTCTCCTCCACCTTTAGTTTTCATGCTCTACCTGCTCCCTGGGGTAGACCTTGGGGGTAAACTGTAATTCTGCAAAGGGGCAGACATCTATTTTGAAAATCAAAATTAATCTGCTTGTGAGAATAAGCAACTCGCGACAAAAAAGGAAGTATGTTTTGATTCCAACTTTTCCTGGAGTTATTAATTCAAAGTGCCTTTAGTGTGACTTTATCCCTGCAGCAATATGATACAACCTGTCCTGCAAAACAAAGTACAGCAATTGTGCAATTAGCAGCACATTATTTATTTTTATTTACCTGCAACTTTAAATTGTTGCCAAGAAGACAAATATCTGTGTATCCTCCTTGCCAAACCTTACTCTCTGCCTGTTTCTGCAAGAGGAACGGTGCAAGAGGCACTGAGCAGTGGTGTCCCCCACTCCAGCATCAGATGTGAAGTCCTGTCTTGCAAAGGCTGCCGTAGACCTCACTGGGATTGCTCAGACGTTACAGGAGTGCACCTAGGCCAGTTATATTCGCAAGACATAGAGCTATGTGCTAGACTGAAATAATCATATAATATTGACTCATCCCACAGAATGGCAGTAAAACCCCCCAAATAGGATAGGATCCTCTGTTTAGCATTATAGATTAGCCAGCATTAGTCCACTGCTATCATAATAACTCAGCCATAATACCCAAGATTTGATGTTATTAGAATATTCAGCATACATCTCTCCATGCGCAAATATAATAAAGCTAATGTAATATCAGAAATGCAAAAAGAAAAAAAAACTTTAATCACTTTATAACAATTACAGGGAGCAAGATCCGTGGATGTATACTTCCCTGAAGCACAATGGTTTGACTACTATACCGTATGTATTTTTAAGATTTTGTTTCTTACATTTTTTACATAATTTGAAATGGTACAATTCCTGCAAAATAACTTTAAGCAATGTTCAGCGGTATTTTTACCTCAGCATCCATGTTTAAGAAAACTAGAGCACACAAAGTCCACACCAGCCTAGCTGGGAGAGTAAATTGCACAGCTTTCAGTTGCATTTTATTTTCTATTTTTGGTTTGTAAAGCTCTAAGACAGAGAGAACTGAATTTTCAGGAGCAGCCTAGAAATTCATGAAACTGCTAAGATTTCTTGTGTCCCCCCCCTGCCTTTTATTGCATATTTTAATTCTTGAACCGATACACTTCCCTGCACAGAAACCTGAGTCGTACTCCTGAGAACATGCTGCAAACCGTTTTGTGCATGCAGTTCTGCACGTGCATCACTTTTGACAGAAGGCAGATTTAGAGAGCAGGATGAAGCTCCCCTCCGAAAGATGCTTCCAAGAGATGCAGAACAATCTGCTCTGTGGAAAATGTCAGCCTCTTCTAGCTTCGGGGACTACAGGTTTTGACCTTCCGAACACCATCCCCACTACTGCACTTCCAAAAGCCCTCAGTTTCAACCCAACTATGCTGTGCTGCAATCTGCAGGATAAAGACCAGTGTTGGCTTCAGCAGGAGTAGTTAGGTTGATGCTGAGAGCTTTCGCAAATGTGAGCCCAGGAGCATCAGGCTGTTGTTAACTATCCCGAGTGATGCTGGCAGGGGAACGGGCAGGACGGAAATGCTCTCAGCATTTAAACCTCTTTATTTTTAAAGGAGTTAGGTCATTTTCAGCATTTGACTGGTGTCCTCAGATGGGTGTTCATCCAACCCTTTCCCCTTTCTGTTTTCATAAGACTGTGGCACTGCGAGGTCGAGGATTTCATTCAGCTCTCCTTGTTGTAGTTCCCCCTGAGCCCCCCTTGCTGGGCTGGGTGCAGGGACAGCGTCCCCGGTGTCCCTTGCCCTGCCTATGGGGCATGCCCCCAGCGTTAGTGAAGCTCAACTCCTGGCATTTGGCACATACTTGCCATACAGATGGTGCTTATCCAAAAACAAGGTTGGGTACTTACCGTAAGTTAGAATTCCATTTACAGGGGACAAGAGCAAAGCCTTCCTGTTATCTACTCTGTATGTAAGCCTTGCCTACACCTGGTTTTGAGGCACTAAACCAGAAACAGAAATGAATGATGCAGAGAACTTAATGCTGGTTGTCTGCACGTTCATGAATTTCACTCATTGAATGCTGTAATTACTTTCTGAAAGGGGAAGACTTGTCCATAAAAGAGAAGAAAATCTACAGTTTACATTCCCAAATGATTATGAATCACTTACCTTAAACTGAAATGTGACAGGCTCCATATGCATAAAAAGAGGAAGCAAAAGTTTCTTTTGCTTTTTGCTTAGAGTCTTGATGAGGATTTTTTTTTTTTCACAGCATATGTAATAATGATACCATTTGTAAAGACTATTTGCTGTCTTTCATTCATGATGGTTCGATCTCATGCATATGCATAACTGCAAGGGCTAGATCCTCTTTCATGTTAAAAAAGGAACTGGGATAATACCCCTGGAATCTGCTTTTTTGTTTGGATTTTCACTGATGTAATTGAGATGAAAATGTACCCCTTGGTCTCTTTTTCAGTTCTATATTGTCACAATGTATAGTGCCTGGATTTGCAGGGTTTTTTTTAACTGCATTAATTTTTGCGGTAGGGTCAAAAAATGCCAAGTACCTGGAGCAAGACATATGCTACTGTGTCTGCCCCGTTGAGCAAGATCCCTCTGTTCATCCGTGGAGGCTACATCCTGCCAGAACAGGCACCAGCCACGACTACAACTAAGAGGTACTGTCATCTATGTTCATCACCAAAAAACCCACGGTGCGGGTCAGACCCACAGACAGCCAAAAAAGTAATCAAAAGAAAATATAGAAGCGAGGCTATCTGCAGCTCCCAGCTGCCATCCCAGGCGATGAGCACAGTATTTTTATCCCACGATTCACTCCATTGCATTAGGAGAAGTCAGCCCAGAGATGACCCGCGTCATCGTTTGCACAGCTGAAACCTACTCCCGGCTCTGTGGTTACACTCAGAGAAACTTTTGCACCTCTTACTGCTGCGCCAACCTGCTGTCAGTCATTCAAAGTGATTCAAAGTGTCAGTCATTCCTCATGTGCAAGGGGAAAATGCAAAACCTCTCCCTGGATGAATTTATTAAATCATAGAATGGTTAGAGTTGGAAAGGACCTTAAAGATCATCTAGTTCCAAACCCCCTGCCATGGGCAGGGACACCTCCCACTAGACCAGGTTGTTCAAAGCCCCATCCAGCCTGGGCTTGAACACCTCCAGGGATGGGGCCTCTGCAACTTCTCTGGACAACCTGTTCCAGTGCCTCACCGCCCTCACAGTAAAGAATTTCTTCCTAATATCTAATATAATTCTACCCTCTTTCAGTTTTAAACCATTACACCTCATCCTACCATGACACTCATTGATAAAGAGTCCCTCCCCATCTTTCCCGTAGGCCCCCTTTAGGTACTGGAAGGCCACAATAAGGTCTCCACAGAGCCTTCTCTTCTCCAGGCTGAACAGCCCCAACTCTCTCAGCCTGTCCTCATAGGAGAGGTACTCCAGCCCTCTGATCATCTTAGTGGCCCTCCTCTGGACCCGCTCCAACAGGTCCATGTCCTTCTTATGTTGGGCTCCCCACAGCTGGACACAGCACTCCATGTGGGGTCTCATGAGAGTGAAGTAGAGGGGCTGAATCACCTCCCTTGACTTGCTGGCAATGCTTCTTTTGAACGCCATGATCAAGGTGGAAAAGCTCAAATCTCTTTTGAGGAAAATTATTTCCCTATGCCAATGGGTAATACACTGTCTCGAGTCTGAACCATGCTCAGAAGCTGATGTGAGTAGGGAAGGGAAGGAACAGCACTGTGCAGCAACCAATCCAAACCCCAGTAAGGTATCACTGGTGACCAATTGCCTCCCAGACTGCCCAGTTATCAGACATTAAGGCCACTAAAGAATTGGAAACTTGTCCACACAAGCACTCAAAAGGTGGGAATTTTACGTTTCAGTGGTACAAAGCAAGGCAGAGTTTTCGTCATCACTTCGGGACCCCCTTTGGTGATGGTAATTCTTCTGTCGTGGCCTTTTTTGTAACCTTAAAATTGGAGTTAATTGTGTTCAGAAGTTTCTGTTAAATAACTTGGAAGGGACAGTGCCCACAAATTTTTACTGACACTTCTCCATGTGTTTGTCAACAGCCGTCTGAACCCATTTGGGCTCATTATTGCCCTGGATGAACACGGAGAAGCTTCTGGGTCTCTCTTCTGGGATGATGGTGATTCAATCGGTAAGCCTGGCCCCCTTCTGTAAAGCGGTGTCTGTATACAGGGCTTTCCTCAGGCTGCCTTTTCAGCGGTGTCATGGCACTGACTCCTACTAGAAATAGCTGGAGAACTGACCCTAAGATGCACGTTAGAGATGTGAAAAGCAGATTGCTCTTGGAGTCAGTGTTTTGATATGAGAAAGGTGTGACACTGTGAACAGCTGGTCTGCTAGAGAGGTCAATCACTTGTGTTGTATTCCCCTGAGCTCATCCTAAGAAGACTAGAGGAAGAGATTAAATAGCCTACAAATCATCTTAGTCTGATGTTAGCTGCTTGTTACAATTAATATGAACTGCTTATGGATTTTGCTCCTTGTTTTGATACCAATCTTTCTTGCTCTGTGTTTTAACAGATACTATTGAAAAGGAGAACTACTTCTTGGCTAAATATACGTACAGCAAAGTAAGTAGCAACATAGGAGGTACCTACGTATATACAGGCAGCTGTATTTTAGTGTAACCATTGTAAGGTGCTAATGTCTAACTTTTCTCTGGAAAGCTTTCTTCTAATAGCTCAGCCTTTAAACCTGGTAAGCTACCTAATGTTTTAATTTACAGACAGCTACAAAATAATCCAACTATGATGCTTCAGTTTTGTGTTTGCTTCATTAAGTATCATAGTGACACATCATTAATGTCCCTGCTGTATTGTAAATCTATAAATCCATTTTTTCAGCTCAGATATTTTTATTTTTTTTTTCTGAGTTGCAGCTTCTGGGGACGAGGGACCTTTTCCTTGTCTTCCTCCTAGGAACACTTTCAGTCTGATGGGTGGGAGAAGGCTACATTCCTCTCTTCAGGATATCCCAGCAACTTTTTAAGTTTGATCACTCAAAGTTTTTATTTTGTAGCCCAGAGATTTATGTAGTCTCACTTCTTTAGCTTGTGTTTCCTTGTCTGACAGCACAGAGATTGCTCCCATGGTCGGTCTCCTGTGGAGCGATTCAGCATGCTATTGGCAACCCACCGTTCTGATCAGATGCTCCATGCAGTGCAAGAATAGATTAGCCCAGGGTCAGTGCATTAATGCCTTTCACACAGCGCTCACTTATGTGCAGACATGTCCTGAGAAAGCTCAATATAAGAACCCAACAGTCTAGGCTTCAACTGAGATAAAGAATATAAAATAAATCTACTAGAAGCGCATGAAGTATATGATAGTAAGTTGTGGGCGTTATTGTAAAAAACCCTTAACCTACTTCAATAATCTATACAGATCATATTTTGTCTACAATTCTAGCATTTGGTAAGAAATAGGATATTGTATGTAGACTGTGGCATGATTTTGGTCTTCAGCTGGCTGAATATGAGCCAGCAGTGTGCCCAGGCGGCCAAGAAGGCCAACAGCATCCTGGCCTGTATCAGGAATAGTGTGGCCAGCAGGACTAGGGAAGTGATTGTCCCCCCATACTCAGCACTGGTGAGGCCCCATCTCAAGTACTGTGTTCAGTTTTGGGCCCCTCACTACAAGAAAGATATTGAGGTGCTGGAGTGTGTTCAGAGAAGGGCAACGAAGCTGGTGAAGGATCTGGAGCACAAGTCATATGAGGAGCGGCTGAGGGAACTGGGGTTGTTAGCCTGGAGAAAAGGAGGCTGAGGGGAGACCTTATCGCTCTCTATAGATACCTGAAAGGAGGTTGTAGCCAGGTGGGTGTTGGCCTCTTTTCCCAAGTTGGAAGTGATGAGAGGAAACGGCCTCAAGACATGTCAAGGAAGGTTTAGATTGGATATTAGGAAAAATTTCTTCACCAAAAGGTTATCAGGCATTGGAACAGGCTGCCCAGGGAAGGGGTGAAGTTGCCTCCCCTGGAGGTATTTAAAAGACGTGTAGATGTGACGCATAGCGACATGTTTTAGTGGTGGACTTGGCCGTGTTAGGCTTACAGTGGGACTTGATGATCTTAAGGGTCTTTTCCAACTAAAATGATTCTATGATTTTATGATCTTCATGCCATCTATTTCTAAAAGACCCAAAGTAGTCTACAGAAAATATTCAAAAGCATAAAATTGTGTTAAGCTCTATTATGATATTGCTCTCAGAATGTATGTCTTCCAGGAGCAAGAGCAAGTCAGGGTAAGACAATGGGTTTTATTACGTAGTCTTGTATATTTGTAAGATATTTTCCTGGAACTAATAACACATGTCTAGACTTTAAATTTAATTTTAAATTTATTTTCTTCTTGATTTACCAAGAAAAAAAAATCTTCTTCAAAAAAAGGATATTTCAACAGTAAAATGGAAGAAAAATCACTTTGGCTTTCTGTAGTCTGTGTATAGTAATTTATTTCAGGAAGGCTAAAGAAAAACAATATCCAGTTTTATATTAAATTCTGATCTGTGCAAATTAGATTGTTGATTCACTGGCACTTCCATTTCTCATTGCTCATATTTGACTTCTGCCTGTAAATCCATGACTGAAGTCCCTATCTGCATTCCAATAATCTCTAATGTCGTTTTTTTATTATGTGTTTATAAAGAAAACAATCCATCTCAAATAGTAAATTGTAGAAGTATGAGAAATGTACGAAAGTCTTGGTATTTGTTGCACATTTCAATATTCTTTAAAAAATTGCGGGTGAATAATTTAATCACACCTAGATTTAGGAGAACACACAAGTTTTGCTCCTTAAGAGATTTACTGATAAGGTCTGACATCACAGTATTTACTCTGAACCCAGCACAGAGTGTTGCGCAAGTAACAGCTGCAGGATTAGACCTTCTCATTTATATTTTTTATTTAAAAAACCCAGAAATACAAAGAAGAATTCAAGACTAGTGTAGGCACTTAAGTGTCAGCGAATGATTCAAGCTGCCTGCTCGCTGGTACTGTCTCCCTGTGGCTGGTATTTTAATTCACTTGACACCTCCATTTCGACACGCATAATGGCTAAGTGACCTAAGTCAAAGTGCCCCAAGTCAAAGTCCCCCATATATTAAGCCTACCAGTCTACAAAAATACATGAGCCAGATGTATAAGACCTGCTGTACTTCAGGGATGAGCAGGGAGAGCCATAAACTCTGCCTCCACCCCCAGAGGTGGCAGGTAAGGCAGATGTGTTCAGACTGTACCAAGTGAACCCAAACTGAACTGAAGGGATGGTGATGGGAAGGCTTGCTCGAGGAAATGGGAGCTTATCAGGGAGAAAATTTTCACTATGAGGGTGGTGAGACACTGGAACAGGTTGCCCAGAGAAGTTGTGGATGCCCCATCCCTGGAAGTGTTCAAGGCCAGGTTGGATGGGGCTTTGAACAACCTGCTCTAGTGGGAGGTGTCCCTGCCCATGGCAGGGGGGTTGGAACCAGGTGATCTTTAAGATCCTTTCCAACATAAACCATTCTATGATTCTATGATACACTAGCCACTAGGTAACTGAATAGCCTGAAAGCAATTTCCTCCTAAAACTGATGAAATTTTCACAGGGAAAATGAGGTGAGTGGGGAGAAAGGTGAAGTTCATAGGACCAGAGCAAGACAGTAATAAAGAAAAATCATGACTTTGCTGCTCAGAAGTGCAGCAGGAAGCCCTGGCTTCTGGTCTTGGATCCAGGACTTCTTTTTGCTTTGCATGTATGGGACTTCGGGTGATATCCACAAGTTCCCTCCCTCTGATGAGAACTCAGGACCTTCCTGGGCAACTGTTTTAACCACTAGATGCTTGGGGAGGTTAAGGATCACTCATTCCCCTGGACCATCACCTCCCTGTCTCCCCAAGACCTTCTGTTTGAGACCTTGGTCAGAGGGACAGTGGTGTCTACTGCAGAGTCCTGTCTCAGGGTCTCAGAGCTTGATTGCAACCTTATTTATTAATACAGCTGTAATCACTGAGCTCAGCATCACACTGATCTTACTGGGTCTGTGTGGCCACCTTGAACTAGCTGTCCTGCTTAGCCACACCTGAGACAGCAAGAAATGACCACAGGGAGGTGGTCTCTCTATACTGAACCTCCCTCTGTGCTGGAGCTCTGCCAATGGGCAGAAGACACCACATATATGTAACCTAAAAAATGCTCCAGAGGCTTTTAGAGGCCTCTCCTCATTTGCTCCATAATAGCCAACATTCCTTATTTAGGCAGTTTAAATCAGTGTGCTGTGTGTATGGATGCCTGAAATAAGAAGTGTAAGCACAGCCCTAAGTTACAAATACTGTGATCTAGCTTCTGCTCCCCTCCTACCAGCCACCATTGAAATAACATAAGCTAATTTATGCAAAAGGTTCCATCATGGGTTTCTCCTTGGCATATTTTTAAAAAGACATGATTGCATAGTAATTCATCATTTCCTGAGCAGCGTAATTCATCTTTATTTCCTTAACAACTTCGATCACATAACAAATGCAATGATTCCTCTTCTTTGCTTATATGGGAAATTACTGTCACTGGTGATCCAAATGAATTTGTTTAATGACTTTCTGTGTCCTCTTGGTACATCCCCAAATGCAGGTTATGCAGTAAATAAAAAGTACAACAAACAGAGCTCTACAGACATATGGTATTCCTTCAGTGTCCTTAAAGCTGGGACATATGTAACAGAGATTTCTAGAAGGAGCCGTGGAGCTGTGGAACATAAAATAGGGGCAAAATATTTAGCAGCTGATGTTTGTGGAAGATGCTAATGGTTTAAAGCAATTAGTTTTGGATGTTAATTAAATCTGCCTTAAGGTCACTAACTGAATCTCTGTATCTGGATTCTGGCTTTGCATATGCCATTGTACACTGTAAATGGGTACAAGAACCAAATTTGCATTGATTACAAGAAAAAAAACATGTCCAAGAAGATTCCAAATGAACGTTGTGTCTTACTGTCTTAGTTTATAATCATACATGAAACCTTTCTTACATGAAAATTAATGTAGCTATTGTTTTTCCTTGATGATCTCAGACTTTAATGTTGGAAGACATTCTATATGTTCACTGACAAAGATGAGACCACAACAGTAACAGTACGCAATAAGTCACCTCTAAAGAGTTGTCGTGGCCCTAATATTTTCTCTATGGCTTTTTCCAGGGACACCTGAAGACAGAAATACTTAAAAATGGCTACCGTGGGGCTGACACTCTGAAGTACAACAAAATTACAATTCTTGGCCTGAATCTGAGACCTCATGCTGTTTCTCTGAATGGAAGAGCCATCCGTGGAGATGCTTTCTCTTACGAGCTGAGTGGGGTAAGAGCTGCACTGAGCAGTTATGAAAAACCTTAGGGAAAAGGGGATAATCAACGAATCAATGAATCATCCACACCCCTTTACATTTCCAAGTATAACCAGGCACCAATTATTGATACAACAGTCTGAGTTTTAGGGGGTAAAAAAAGCAAAAGTGAAAGCTATTTTCAGAAACTTTAATCATTGCTATTACACATATGTTCTCTTTTACTTAATGTCTGCCACTTATACAAGTTTTTAGACTAATGAAATAATGAAAAGAAGATACAGGTCCACAAACCAGGAGAAATGTTAGCAGTTTTATGGGCACTATTATCATTCTGATAAAATGAGAAAACTCGTCAAAGTTGTTTATCAGCTGCTGAAAAGAAGTGATGGAGACCTTTTCTCACAATTACTTAGTGGCCAAAAATTATTTCAGCATAGGTGGCTCTAGTGAGTGTTTCCCTATTTTCAGAGGAGGGAAGGGCAAATCTCTGCTGTACTTTTGTGTTCCTAAGGGAACTATCACTACAGTGAGACAACAGTTACAGTTTCAGCATCTTAAAGTGTCCAACCTCAGTGTCCCAGATCAAAATGCATGACTTGCTTGTGCAGTGCTCCTCTAGTACCAACAAGGAGACAACCCAGAGGGGACAGACACCCCTTATAAACAGCTGCAACAACCTCTGTGGTCCCAGTTTCCTTTTCCACAGAAGAACAGACAACAATGCTGAGTAAATTTCCTTTGCTCTGGTCACTTATTTGTCACCAGCCACCAGGCTGAAGTGGGTCGCACACACTTTGTATGAGATGTGGTACTCACATCTCAGCACTGGTCTGCATCTAGGGAACTCCCAGTACTAACACTATAAGATACCACTAACTCATTGTTCAGTCAAAGATAGCTGAGGCAACAAGCAATGCATGTCATGTCTTATGTTAGTCTACCCACTTGGCTTAATGATTTAGGTTTATTTGTAACCCAAGTGTGATCCCTGTTATATGCACCTCATTCTAACATTTATTTTATTGAAGGAATCTGTAAAGGAAGAAAATTGCTGAGAATAAATTTCTGCCTTGGAGAATCATAAAAAACTCACTTTCAGAGACGATGTCATAAATAAGTGTAATCAGTATTGCCTCAAGGGAAGAAATTGTTTAACAGCCAAACTGCCTCTAAGCAAGCTGAAAGCAACATAAATGTGGCAGGGTAAAGAAAACACTCCATTGAGATGTGCTTGAAGGCACCAATCACAGAAATCCAAAAGATAACTGAATACTAACAGCATCCCATAAAAAGATGGTTAAGAAAGACTAAAAAGTATCATTTAAAAATTGATTTAAGTGCAAAAGATGATCTCAGTGACTTAAGAACTACTTCAAATAACGGAGAAAAAGCCACCAAGCTGCTGTAGTGGGGAAGGTCCAAAACTGCACAACAATTACATTATTTAAACCAGCTAAATATATTCCTCTCACAATTCTAAGAGATTCAGTCAAACCTCTCCCACCATCACTGTACAGGTGTTTTAATGCCATTACCTAGAATACTCTCATGTTTGAATCTCTACTAAAAAGAAAAGCACTAGCAGCTTGGGTTTATGTCTTGAAAATTTACAATCCATGTAATTAAGAAAATAACAAAATCCAAAGGGCAAATTTGCCACTTTCGCAGAGGCTTAATGAGATTACATACTGTATAATAGTTTAACAAGCACAAAGACCGTACTGTTTGAAGGGATGTAGTACAAAGTAACTTCTACCATATTGCTTTTGCTTTACAGAAAGCAAATTTGCCTAAAAGCAGGGCTTAAGTGCATAATTGAGACACAGTTATTTGTATATAAATAGAAGCAGCTTGCTTAGTAATAAGCCACTTCTTTCTCTCTGATTCACGCAGGGCTACCCTGATCTGACATTTGTAATATTGCAGAGTCTTCCTATTATTATTAGGAGTCTCTTATCTGTTTCCTCCCCTCGAGTATCATACCCTAAGAGCCACAGGAGCTGCGTTGTAACTGCAGCAGGGATGTTGGAAGAGCACTTCTGTTGACCAGGCTTGTGCTGACAACAAGATGACCTGGGCATAGGGAGGTTCTCCTCTTGCTTCCACTTGCATCCCCTGCTGGGAAGGGCAGGGAGATTCCCAATGTCCGTAGTTCCCAATGTCCATGCAGTAGTGCAGTCTGGAGCAGCCTTTCTGGCTGCCTGGCACTTTTGGGTTAGTGTTTGGATGGGGTTGCAGTATTTTTGTCTGGATCTGGCCCTGTATTTGAATAAAAGGAAAATTATTCAAGAAGTGGAATTCCTACTAGAGAACTGTTTCTGCTGAAAGATGAAAACATTACATACTTTGAAGAAGTGATCTAAGCATAGGCTGTTAGAGTGATGTTAACAGGAATTTGTGGGTGGGCAAAGAACTAGCTAAGAGGTGTGAATGAATATTATGCATTCTAAGAGACTATTAATTCTGAAACCTAAAGATAAAATTGGTGAAGTACTGAAAATGGAAATTATGTGAGAAGCATAAAACACACCAAATTTAACATTGAACAGAGAGAGAGCAGGACAGGTATTGTATTTATAATTTCATATTTAATTCATTTTATTAATTAATTTTAAACTGTTCCTGAATTTCTAAAAGGGGTGTTGAATTGGATACAGCAGTAGAATGATGCATACTACCACCAAGTCAGTCTGGCCTACCAGACGAGGTTAAGGGAATCATGAAGGTCTAAGCTCAAGTTTTCCTTCTTGTTCTCCATTTTGAGCTGGTCTTTTTTAAGGTAACATAAAGTTGTTCATTAACTTTGTGTCTTTTTTTTTTTTTTTTTTTCTTTTCTTCACAGAAACTCACTTTATGGATTTCTGCCCCACTTACTCAGGAACTCAACATTACGATTTACTAGAATGGTCAGAAAACACTGACATAATTTAGCATCCTTGGTCCTCAGATATTGATCTTACTTTGATTTTAATGTAAAAAAACATTTGGCCATTAAAACATTGCTTATGTACCTGATGATTTGTTTTCATATGTGGTATTTGTAGCAGTGTTGTTCAAATAAAAGTTGAGTTCTCTCTCACCTCAGATGGAGGTAATATTTGGAATTGTTCTTGCTGGGACCATACTCTGGACAGCATACACTGGGTTTTTTTCAAACCTATGGTGGCAAAAAAGAAAGGAGCAGCTGGATTGTCAGCTTAACTCACATAGCCCTATTCTGGGGGAGGCAATGTAATTTGTCAAGAGAATGCATGGGAAACACAGCTGATCAAAGGTTGGGGATACGTAGATCTTTGTACTTCAGCCATTTCTGGCTACGGAATGACCTTCCAAGACCACAAGAAGCTTCAGCTTATGGAAATGGCTCTAAGGAGTCCCTGTTATTTTAATAATATAATACATAATCAGCTGTTAATGCAATACATAATGCATAACATATCTAATATAATAAATATTAATATAGTATTATATTAAATACAACAGCTGGTAAAAATCAGCCAATAGTCCCAGACTACAAAATCTACAACTGTAGTGATCACTTGCTTTTTTCTATGTTCCTGAACTGTAATAAACACAGCCCGGGTATGTCTTGGGATCTAGCAATCATAGAGAGAATTTGTTGAAAACTTGGGGGATTTCTTTCAGGAATCTCATTCTCTCTGGAGACTGTTCCCAGTGTTAGAGTAGCTCTTACTGAGGGGAGTGGTTGGTGCCTCTAAATGTACACTGTGACCTTTGACAGGAAGGATCCACATCACAGCAGGGCCAGAGCTTCACAAACTCAGCTGTTCCCAAACTTTTAACTCTAAGCCAAAAAGCTCTTTTTATTTTTGCTGACATTTATACATGAGAAACCTGAGTCACAGTTTGCAACCATAAGAGCTTCAATAGTAAATAGATACTCCAGTAAGGAGGTTGGGAAGGAACTGGGCTCCAGTTTAGGCTGCTAGCACCCTCTCTCCTTTCCCCAGCAGTGAAGCTCCCCCATAAGTGCAGGCAGGGTTAAGTTTCATCTCAAGCTCCTTAAGGTGCTTCTGTCTCTTCCTGTTCCTGTCCCCCACCAGAACAAAACTGTACAGAAAACCTTTCTTGTGGCAGAAATGCTATGTCAGTTCCCAGCAGGTTAATTCTGCTTCCAAAACTCTGCAGGGAAAGGTCTCAGCCACAGTCTACTCTTGCAAAAAAGCTCCCCAACACCACTTGTATATGGGAAACTGCTCCTGACGGACAGACACAAGTGCAAGTGCAGCATGTTTTAACAAGAATGTCTGATTTTCACAACGGTATGTTCTAGACTGCTCAATGATAAGGATTTCATCCAGGTGTTTTCACATGATCACATTTCTTCTGAATTAGCCAGGGCACACAACACAGCAGTATAAACTTTTCCACCTTATGTCAGCCATAGGAAGACAAACACAGTCCTGGCTGCTTGCTAAAGGCTGCTTACTCAACGAGAGCCGAGTCTTGTGGAGAAACTTAAAGACCTGGGTCTCTCCAGAGCCTTTGCTGGCTGCAGCATGGTCTGCTGTGAAATATGTCTGCTCTGCACGGTGTGGAGAAAACAACTTGCTCAGCAGCTCTTTTGTGGGAAGAAGCTGGAGAAGATGATACTACGAAAAGGCGTAGCTGAAGATGGTGAGAAAGGGCTGAGGGAAGGCAGAATACGGGCAGCGGGGCGAAAGCTGATCTAAGGCGATGGATGAGACAACCATATTTCTTGCCTAAGAATACAGCACATAACTAGACTCCTTGATGAAATAAACACTTAAAAGTATGCCCATCTGAGTCTGTGGACTGGGCAGACTAAGGACCTTGTGCAAAGGGAGGACGCCAGCATGGTTTGTGAGAGCTGTGTGTGTTTGGGAGAGAGGAAAGCAGGAGAACCTCTGTCAGAGCAGACACCAGAGGCAGGCAGCTAGAAAGAGCAGTACTTGTTGCATAAATGTGAGGAACAGCAGAGACCCAGCAGATGTGTCTGTACTGCGTGTCACAGCTCCGCACCAGAGAG